AAAAAGCCAGCATTGCTGCTGCAGAGTGAGTGACGTCAACAATTCAAAGGAAATGAAATGGTTGATAAGTACATGGTTTGGCAGGTACACTGGCAAGAGTGTTTAGATCAATTGAGTTGTGATGAAAAAATCATGAATTTAAATATTTTCGCTGCCATATCGAATACTTCATTTATATCCCTTGTTTGAAAATGTACAATTTCAATTAACAAGTCACAGCCCTAATCTGAATGGACAGGGTGCTGAGCCAAACTATAGAGTGCTGCAGGAATGAGTCCCAAAACCTGGAAATGAGTCAGCATTTCTGCACCTCTGGTCCGCTAGTCTCAAAGTCAATGTGTTTTTTAAATGTGTTTCTGGTTAGATGCCTGAAATAAGGTCTGTGGTTAACAAAAGCTTAAGAGATTTTTATGTTTTGTTCGACGATATAAAAACCTTCCATAAATATCCCACTCTGAGACACCTAAACGTCCTCACTAGAACACTAGTCCTCCTTTAGCTTAGTGGTGAAGACATGAAGTCATGTTACCGTGGTGGAGTTAATTTACAGCTTAACGTTAGCTTTTTACTCCTGCTGATTGTATTCATGCTTCAAAAATCATAAAGGTGGTGTTCATTTGTGAAAATTATCTTGCTGAACAAAACATACAAGTATCATAAACCAATACGATGCTAACATTTTGATTGACTAGAAATGTCTGGTTCAAATGGTTGTAAATAGCTCCACCCTGTCGTGTCACGATAACAAATCAAGATGACTTAGTCCACAAACCAATAGGTGACATCATGGTGGCTACGTCCACTTCCTATACACAATCTATGGTCATACCACATGGCTCTCATGGAGCGACACCTTGTCCCGGCCTTCATTTGCTAGCCTTGGCAGTATGCTGATCCACTATCCACTAAGGCAACACATGATCTAGATGATCTAATTAAGTCATTCATATGACTCAACAGGAATGCTGCCAGGGTGTAAAAACAAGTATCAAGTGGGAACATGAGGACTAAACCACAGCGTGTGGTCCATCATGAACATGACTAGATATGTCCAATCAATGTCAATGGTTTAAGGCTAAAAATTTGACCAAAATGCTCCTAAATACTTCTAAATAAAGTATGTTTTAGTAATTGGACTCGAGGAAGTAAAAAGACAAAAAAGCTCTACTACGTTTTTAGGTTAAGATAGAAATGAAATCAAACACAGAAATTGCATCTGTCATCACCGTGTGTCCCTGGTGTGTGTGTGTCCATTATTGTTTGTGTGTCCATGTGTGAGAGACGTGGTCAGACAGAAACTCAAGCTGGGTCCCAGCTGACATGAAGTTATTTGTATGTCAGCATATGAATAATAACTCTGTCTATCTCTCCTTCACAAACACACAAACATATACACACATACACATGACTTTTGGAGACATTACATTGACTTACATTAATTTGCTGGAGACTTAGCCTTACCATAACTTAAAACAAGTCTTCACCTTAAAATGTAATGATTTATGTTATGTGGATTTAAGGATAAGGTGAGTCCCCACAATATGACTGTGTAAAAAGATGTATGTCCCCACAAGACAGGTAAAACACACACACACACACACACACACAGGGCAGTGGCTAGTTGCTAATAAAATTCAACCCCTGACATTCAGTTTAAGAGAGGCCAGCAGTGCGACCTCATTGCAGAAACAGATGACCACATTACAACCATTTAATTACATTCTGTCCTTGCATGCACATTATATAAATACACATTGGTACACTACAACGGTATGAACCCAAAATAAACATATTCTGCCATGATTTCATTGCAATAAACGGACAAAAAGGGATGCCGAAATAACTACATAATGATGCCGGTTTGTAAAAAGTCTGAATTCATGTTTTGTTAGTTCTCGCCGCAAGATGACAAGTAAATAACTTTTAAAATGCTTGTTTTCTCAATGGAGCTCGGATCGATTGGTGCTTTTATTGTTTGTACCACATGGTTTATACACATACATTTACACACTAGTTTCGTCCAGTCTCTACTAATATGAGGTATCGTAGAGCTCTGGGTGCCCATCTACGGCTACAATATTTTTTTCCTGATTCAACAACGGCAGGACGTCAGTGATGACAGGAGGAGAATCTCAATGCTGATAGGCTTTCGCATTTTCGCGTCGCGCCATTCGCGCCACCCGGCACAAATTCGTGTTTATTCGTCTATTCGCGTCTAGGCATTAGTCGGTCAATTTGTCATTCGAGATGAACTGCGCCTCGCCTGGAAATTAGATGAGGGCAGGCGGTAGCAGCAGGGGGCATTGACAAAAAACTGCGGCCAATTCGGATAGTTTTCAGTTACCTTCAAAGAATCAACAGGAAGTCACAGAAACAGTTACTTCCTGTTAGATCCGATCTGTAGGCTACGTGTAGTTTACAGACCTGGTTCGGATTTATTCATGTATTTGTAAACATATATTTACGTGGAAATGTGCGTGTATCTGCATTGTATGCTATCCTTTGTTCTTTTATGTCTGCCTGTGAAACTTTGATGCTCGTTGTAATATGTGTTTTATAAATAAGCTTTATTATTATCAATCACACAAGATATGTTTTTAGATTAAACCTTCGTTGTTCAACATGACACTAATAGCCAACAATCGAGCGTTAAGTATGACAATTACACAGACAATTTCGATTTTCTACGAAACGTGGTGTGTGTTCTAAGAGCCAATCAGCTCTTTGATTTGGCGACAACCAGGTGTTTCCCATCATGCATTGGGTCATGCAGTCTGGTGGAGAGCAACTGCGGCGCCTGGCTCTAAAAACTGCGGCTGCCTCGCTCTCTTGAGGTTATCGTTGACCACGTGTTCATGACGTCAGAGCAAGTCAGGATCAAGTCGGACACAAATCTAACCGGCATGCATTGTGAGGCGATCGCCGGTGATCGATTCTTCACAGGACTGACTCATCTAAAACAATTGACTTCTCAAATAGAAAGCTCAAATTTTGCGTTGATGTGGACATAGACACATAAAAACACAAACATTTACAAATTGGCCTTTATATTATACATAATATTACTATACATTTTGGTGTTTTAATGCATGTATGTCCACATCAAGGCAAAATTGAAGCTTTCATGTTGTACAAGATTTAGAAACGACCCTGTAATCCTGGTAACGCTCAATAACCGTGAACCCTAGCCAAATAGTTATCTCTGACTTGTATTTAATTAAAGAAAATATAATCACATCAGGTATTGTCAGTAAATTCAGGGGACCATGCAAGGTGCCAGGTGCTCGTCGGGATCTAGACTAATTCACATTCACACACCGATGGCACAGCCTTCTGGTGCAATTTAGTGTTCAGTGTCTCGCCCAAGGACACTTCGACATGCAGCTCATTCTGAATGGATTCTGCATGATATGGTTGTCATTCAAATGCATCATCTTCAATGGCAGTAACCCAGCAGCTGCTTTCTCAATCTGAACCAATTGGACCATACAAGATATTACTTACCATCGTGCATGTATCATCGTTGTCACATACCCCGACTGTTCGTCACATGCTCTGTCTCCCTCAGTCCATTCTCCGTTCCATTCACTCAGCAAGTTTTCTCTGTTTATTCCGGGCCAGCCCATCACGCGGAAGCAATGGAATATATTGCTTTGGACGGGGAGTTGAAGGAGTTCAATTTATGATTGACAAATGTTTCTCTCACCTCCTCCATCACATAACTCGTTGAAAGAGGAGAATGCTTTAACAGTGTTCGAGTGTGTGTGCGCGCAAGCATTACTGACAATACAATATCGCATTAGTGATATACTGGGCTTCAGTTCAACGCTCAATATTTTTTGCTGCACAAAAAAGACATTAAGTTTTAGGTCCGATATGCTTGTCTTCAGGTTCATACTTTTATTTTGGGTTATTTTTATGCTTTAATGTTACAAAACACAATATTTGTCTCATACCATTGCCTGTATTCACCTCCTGTCTGAAACGCTCCGTTTTAGCTCCTGTCTTTTCAAGGCCACTCAAAGTTTCCAGTCTTCTGCATCTGCTCCGCCGGAATCGTGTGAAGATCTCGTGAGATGGTTAAGGTTAGATATTGAACTTGAATAGTTAAAGTCCAGGTAAAGCAATATTAAATATGTGGTCTAAGTTTGCAACACCCCAGAAAAATATGTTATTGACTAGCCAGCCAAACTTGAATTTTTAAGAAAATCGTCAAGTATATAAATTTAGATTAAAAAATTGTAAAAAAAAAAAGCAGTATAAGTAGCTCTAAAATGCTGGGGGCCGTGTCCGCTGAATCGCGGATGAGGGGTGATTACATATTTGCAGTTAGAGTATATACCATGTGTTGTCCATCTCACTGCTGTACGCTACTCTGATGGATGGAGTAGGCTACAGTGTGCTCTCATGTGCACCCCGAAATGAAGGCAAACGGAGAGGGCCAGTAAGGAGACAGACTGTGTCGGAAAAACTTTATGGATTTTTTGACAATCCACTGGTCCACATGTATTCGGTGTTTAGAATCAAGATATTACTTAACCTGGACTTTAAAGTTAGTGTAGCGAGTTTTAGCATTTTTTGCAAATTGTGGGTTATCACAGAGACCTCTCTCCACCCATGGGCCTCTGCCGCCATCATTGCAGCCAGGGAACCACTGTAACCATGTTTAGCTGCACTTGTGGGACCACAATAACTGCTGCCAAACAAATATTTCACAATGAACATGTTCCAGTGAGTATTTAGTGCAATTCAGGGAGAAATGAACAACATCTGCTATATTCAACTAACCCCCATGTCACATGGAGATGCAAATTGAACCCGCTTTTTGGAAACACATATTTCCTGGATATATAGTATAAAATATAACAACATGCATTTTTCTCCTGCTCCATCCATCAGGAAATATATATTTTGAAGTATAATGTGTGTTGTTTTTGTTGAATAGTTGTTTGTCAGACGTGTTGAGGATTATGTTTTATTCTGAAAAACTGAGGGCGGAAGTGTATATCGTTGTCCACAATGTTGGAACACAGCCTGATTCTAAAGACAGCGGGCTGAAAAGGAATCAAGACTTTCCGGTAACAACAAAGACTCACGTCGACCATTGGTGAAAGGTATCCACTGAATGTGTTATGCACTCGGAAATGGCACGAGTGTTCATTAAATGTAACGGAACTATTGCTAGCTTTCCTCTTGGTAGCTAACGTTAGCCAGCTACGTCGTGAAAACACCCAAAATGGCCGGTATGTCTGGGTCTACGTACGATGGCCCTGTATTTACCGATTTAAATGATTTGTTATCTGATCAAATAAGGCATCGATTCTATCATAATATGATCAGTTGCATATATATGTATGCGAGTTATGGATTCGTTAGACTGTAGGTCTTCATGTGGCCGGTTTGAACGAGTTTTAATCCAAATGTTGCACTGAGGTTAGTGGTTCAGAAACAAGAACACGAAGACCCAACATGTAGGGGCTCTGGTGCAGCTGTGGACGCAGTAACGTTGCTTGAGTTATATTTCTCACCTTAAATGTGCAGCCAGTGACACAAAAGTGTGCAAATAATGCTCTGAATATACCTGTCTGCTTAGCCAGACCATTAATGCACGTCTGTTTGTTTAGTAGGTGCAGATGGGTGCTATAGTAGCATTAACACATGAGAAGTCGGTAACATTATTATTTTGTAGCAAGAATAACTGTAGATACTTGGATTGTGTTGCTGCAGCTGCTTTTTTTTCTGTTGAAATATACAATTGAGTGGAACTTTTCTGTTGTGGTCATTTTTAGAGACGCACCCATATTGATATTGGATGATGATCCGACAGGACTCAAATAGCTGTACCGTGTATCGGTGACAATAGGTCGATCTGGTATCAGATAGTGTTATTCTAAGAAAGGACTATCTATGTATTTATTTGGTACATTTCGTTTTATGACGTTAGGAAAACAATGTTTAAGTCAAGCTTGATGTTGCCTCACATACGAGATGGATCCCAGTCACTTCCACACAGTGAGGCATACAGCTCATTCATTTAACACTGGTATCACATACACACTTGGTATATCGGCAGACACACACAGCCCAACTCGGTGCATCACTAGTCGTTTCTCCAGGCCGCTGATGTTACTCTACTAAGATGTATGAGAATTAGCTGTGAAAGGCATTATAACCAGACTGCTATGACTATGGAGATCTGGTCAGGCATAACAATATGCCAGACATGTTTTTATATGTCAGACCTTTTTATAAACATGTGACTTTAAGGTCAGATCACAGAGGAAATGCTTGCATCATGTTATCAAATGGAAATATGTGAGCCTGCATGGGACATTTTAAGATAAATGCTGCTTTGCTTAACCTTGACTTAGCCTGTTAACCTTCTTAACCAATATCTGGCAACAAAATCACCCCTTTGTCTCTGATATAGTTTCCCTTTTTCTTAAAAGCTGATGTTTGGTCAAAGCTTGCTCGGCTTGGTCTCTTAAAAGCAAACCTGTCCTCAAAGACTTACCAAATTGATTGTGCACACACTTGTATATTTATGACATGACGGAACAAAATTACATGGTAGACTAATATATCACTGTTTGACATGAGTCAGACTATTGCTAAAACCAAATAAATGATTTAAAGGCAGTTTGGTCAGCCTTGTTAAAGGAAAACAAGTTGGGCTCAGGTACAATATATTGAAAATAAGAGAGGATGGATACCGATGCCAAAGATAAGCTTTATGTTTAGATCACATGGGCTGTCATGTCTGATGATAGGCTGTTACCTAAACGTTGTGCGAACACATACACCGATGATACAGCCCACAAGCCTCCTGTCATTTTGAAAAAGTAATGCCCGGGTAAAGCAAGTTAAGTATCCCTGACATACAGGTTAAGCCTATCTTCAGGAGACTTCTCTTTTAGGTCTTGTGAAACATATTTAGTATGTCAAACAGGCCTACATGTTGTTCAAAGTGTTTAGTTAGCGCTCACCATTTTATTATTTGAGTTTTACTGGCATTGTGCAAAGTTTTCTGCAGTTCACTGTGTGTTTATTTTGAATTCGTTCCAGGACACGGTAAGTGTGCTTTAGAATTTGTAGACATTGCAGTGATCTATGTAGCCTGCAGCAAATATTCAGAAAATAATTTGTTCTGCTGTGAACATTTTGGCAAAGAGGCCCAAGCCATGTTTGGACAAAGTCCACTGTGTCCTAATGTTGAACATGCATAGTAGGCTAGCAAGTGTTTCTCTGGAAGCAGGCTCATAGGTGTTATTCCTACAAGGCCCAGAGCTTTGGGCTTTGTGGTAGTGTCCCTGAAGGTTAAATCAATATTTTCTGTGTTTCATAATGTTGCTTTGCTTTCCCGTCCTAAAAGAAAAGCACTGTGACTACAAGAAAGAAATCTTGAGGTGATTTCTTAGTGCTTTCACAAATTTTAAAGGAAAGAAACCACAAACAAGATGACTGAGCCAACTTGTTATTAAAAAAGTGCGTGGTGAAAAGAACTTCATCTGAAAGCTACTTTTGAAATGAAAAACAAAAGCTTGTTCATCTGTAATAGTCTATTTCTGCTTTCCACCTCGCAGCCTCGCTGTGCACACCGACAGTAATTTGCACCTTGCGCCTACCCTTCGCTTGGAGCCCAGTGCAACATTCTCCAACAACACCAGAGGGACCCATTTCATATTTGGACCTGTGGCTGCAGTGACAGCTCTCCGGTTGGCTCAGATTGAGACTCGGGCGCAGATTGCTCTCCAGCAGCTTGCTACACTAGCGACCATAATTATTGGCAGCCAGTGTCACGACAACAACGGATTTCCAGTGGCATTACCGCCTCACCTGGCCCTCCTGAGTCTTCTTAATAGACAGCAGGTTTCATCTGTTGGGTTTAACGTGGACACAAACAGAAAGACTTACAGAAACACAAGTCTCTCTGCTGCCATGTACCACCACCACTCCCAGCAACAAGGGCCGCCGCCTTTCTCTAATGGGCCTAGGCCTCCTCATCATCAGCAACCTCCAAATCAGCATCAGAATCATCCTCCCTCTAATATGCTGTCGCAGGGGATGGGTTTCCAGTTTCCTCGTCCTACACAGCTTCCTGATGAGCTAGAGTCTGCCCTGGCTATCCGGGGTGCTAGAGACATGGATCACCGCCTCGTTGACCACATGAACCGACCGAACCAACTCCAGAACCAAGGCTCTGGTTCTGGGTTCAGTCAACATGGAAGCTACGGCTCTAACCCAATAACACTCACCTCCGATAATCAGCCTGGCCGCCAGCAAGGAGTAGACTGGTCAAGCTACCAACCTCCAACTAAATTGTTTGCCAGTCCTCCACCTAGTGCTAGCCAGCAGTCCCAACGACAACAGGGGCCCCAACAGCAGCCACAGAGCAGCCATGCTGGAACAAGCATCCCAAGCTGGACAGCCCCTGTAAATGACTCACCATCACCCCAAACACGGCACCCCCATGCTGGTGGAAGTGGTGGCAGCGGGGAAAGTCAGGCTTTGTACACACCAGAGAGTGCAGGAAGCATCTTGGCTAGCTTTGGACTTTCAAATGAGGATTTGGAAGTGCTGAGTCACTACCCTGATGATCAGCTAACCCCAGATACTTTACCATTCATACTCCGTGACATTCAGATCAACAAGTCGGGCAACCCGAAAACTGTGGCCTCCACTTCCTCATCCTCACTCTCACGCAGCATCCATGATATGCCGCTGCCTCCTTCCCAATCTTCACCATTGACACGTTCACACTCACCAGAAGTGCCCAGCCTTCTTACTGTTACACAGACCGCAGGTAAAGTCATTGACTATGGTCATGCCAGTCGGGCAAAAGACGAGACTAGTAACAGAGAGACTTTCAAAAGAGAGCGGCTCTCCAATGAAAGGACAGTTAAAATGTTCCCATCTTCATCGTCCTCATCAGCTCCAAAGTTAGAGAAAGCGGAAAGGCGGCAAGTCCGTTTGGAACACAGTGATTCAAGCAAGCACGGAGACCGGGACTATCGCAGGACGAGTAGCGACCATCGCAAGAGCAGTCGGTCACCTGGGAGAGAATTTCCACCACCATCCAAATCTCGTAATCTGGACCGGGACTACAGGCGTGACGGACCCAAACCTAGGCCCCCATCTGAAGCCAAGAGCGAAGCTTCCTCGAGACGGTCTCTCTCCTCTTCGTCTGGCTCAAGACCACACAGCAGCAGCAAGAAGTTACCGACCCCCACCATGATAAGTGATTTCTCAGCTGTGTCTCCAAAGGTGTATCCCCATACCTGCTCCCTGTGCCACACACTGTGTGATCAGGAAAAGGTGAGTGCCAACATGCCCTCGTACCAATGTCTGAAAGGAATACCTTCACATGTTAAATTCTAGTCTAGACCTTTCTTCACCAGGCAGTTGTTGAGATGAGAGTGCATTCTGATGTCATTCAAGTAGTGTTTTGCATGGTTAGTAATTTCTATTCAAACAAGTAGGCTTAGGTACAGTTGCTCTAAATCAGAGGTATTCAGAGTGGGAGGCGGGCCTCCCCAGGGGGGCTACAAACAATGTCAGGGGGTTCAAAAAATATCACATGTTTTTAAAGGAAATCCCTTTGAATCACCTTAATATGTATGTTTCGGTTAAGAGTTACAGTAGTTTTAAAGAAATTTACTGTTCCCAATTTACTAGTCAGGAACTAATAAATGTCCTAGGTAGCTTTCTTGCGAACTTACAGTAAGCAAGTAAGCACCTTCTACCACGCTTTGTCTGAGTCTCAGACTGTGACCCTGCTCTAAATGATCCAGCTCGCTTGTTGCCATCAAAACCCATTGTTTTGAGTATTAAATCCTAACTATGCCACCTTTCTCTAGTTTCCTGTGAAAGCATTATTTGTGTCCACCATGATGGCTGAAAGCTTTAGTCAGTGATGAAGTGACTTCCGATGCGACACTGCTAATTGCTGAGATGGCATATATTAATCACTTCATTTCACTTCTTCTCATGTCCTTAGTTGAACAATGGTTGCATTAAGAACATGTCTGATGTGTGCCGTGGTTTATTTGGTGGCCATGTGCTCATCCTACCACAGCTCCACTCAGGCATTGTCCTTTTTGCCCAGATTAGGATGTTCTGACTTCAGTAACTGTGGGTGATGTCACGGACACTACAGCCATGTTTTTCAAAAGACAACTGTCTGGTGAAGTAAAGTAAGACTTTAAAGTACAATGGCCTGAAGAGCCCCTCCTCCTTAGAACTTCCAAACACGTTTTGTAGCACTACGCTACCTTGACTGGTGAAGCCCAGGTGTTAAAAGATATTCATTTGGAACTTCCTTTTCAAATATTAGTTTCTCAACTAGAGGTTTCATGTGCAAGTCTATTGAACTTTTTCATAAAACCACAATAGAGGTATGTGCTAAGAAAAAAGTGCTACGGCTGTTTTGCTCATTCATTTATTGAGATTAAGCAAACCTAAATGATTCCAGCATTAATATGTTGTCATATTCATGCTGAACCAGACATGTCTACAGTTCCCAGGATATTTACAATGAAGAAAACATTGGATTTAATGTAAAAAAGTTTAAGGTAAAAAATTCCAACCACATCACAAATCTTTAAACAGTGCTGGTCCTTTACCCAGTTCATTGGATGTTTTCCTGTTCTGTTGGTTTCCTGCATTATAACCACCCCTTCAATTTATAGTTCAATCATGAAATACATCCAGTTGGCAGTGAGACGGTGTTTCACATTGAATGTTAAATGTGTAACGTTTAAGAATCCAGGTAATCTGTTATAAGTTCAAATGTTACTGTAAATATGAAGCTTTACACTCAAGCTGCATGTTTACATATCTATTAGTGGACAGGGAGAATGTCGACAAGATACAACTATCAATCAATTTTGTTTTAACAGCAAATTAAAAAAGTTGGTATAAACTGATCAAAGCATAATAGCAATGTTTGCTTTGCTCAACAGTAATAACTGTTGAGCAAACTCCTTGGTTCTCTGGGAAATCCAGAGCTCTGGTCTGTGGCTGTGGAGTGGAGTTTCTCATGTTCTCAGGTGGTGGTGGTGTTGACTATAAGGTTTTAAAGTGGCTTGTACTCATTGAGTGTGACTGTCTTCATTTTTCTTGGAAGTGTGGGATTTTTGAAGATCTGGTATATTTGGACAAAAGCAATTCAATTTCATTTCTTTTGGCTTACATCTTCTCAGGAAAAGATTCCTTTTGTCTCAATAAAGGTTGCCCCACATCTAAAAAAATGTCATTAATGGCAAAATAAGGGTTGTAGACTAATGACTATATAGTCAATAATCATCAATCAATTGCATGTAATGATAGCAGAATGTGAAGTGCTCTTTGTCAAAATGACTGCAAGCTTCTATAATGTTTTTAAGTTTCCAACTCTAAAGCTCTTGGTCTCTTTTAGTTAATGCAAACACGTTGAACATAGGGAATTTATTTAATTTAATCTTGAATGAAATTGTCATATGTCACAGGTTTTGTCAGGCATTGCATAGAGCACAGACAACAGATTGGCGGATGAGTAGATAGTGGTGTCATAAATGATTTGTCCTCTTCGAGCCTGGGGGCATTACTTATGTTAATTTGATAGTATTTGCAACAAGAAGACTTGTTTCTTTTGCCAATGGTACGTAGTGTGTTAATTAAGATGAAGATTGATAATCACAATGAAGATAATGAAAGGTAAAGTGGATACAGAATGTGAGCACCCAGCACACAAATGATCTGAAAGTCCAGATTAAACGTTTAGTATTTCTGCTAGTACTTGTAACATGATATGAATTGGGATCAAAGAACTGGGCCTCAACTGTTAGCTCAGGGTTTTCTCCATGTGACAAAATACGACCAGCAAACACAGATTCACATGAGCTTCTGTCTCAGGACTTGAGTTGTTCACTGTAGTTGTCTGATTGTGATTCTCCCGTTTGTCATTTTTCTTCAGGAGTGGGTTGACCATATTAACACCGTCAACCACACTGCTGCCTGCAGAGACCTGCGCAACAAGTGAGTTCTAGGGATGTTAGCCGTTAATCTGTTGACCACTGGGGACATTTTGGCCAGTGGTCTATATATGGTTCATTCAACATGTTACCGATTGAGCTGTTCAGACGGGACGCAGCGAGCTCTGCGGTGACGGGTACGTTGCCAGTGTGAAACAGCTGTTTTGCTCTCAGAGCAGATTAAAGGGCAGAACATGTGACCAGATTATAATGCAGCAATAAACTTCTGCAAAGCATTTATTAATTTATACATTAAAATTGCCTGCATGTAGCGCATCAATGCGACACCAATGGATTGCTGGAAAAAAGGGAAAGCGTTGTTTTCTTTCTTAAAAATGAACCAATTAGTTACGAGTTAACAGGTGTCAAGCATCCCTACTGAGGACATTTTAATTACCTGCTGAAGCCTTGCATCTCCAGTATATCTTCAGTATTATATCATAGTTACTTAGATAATATTCTGCATTTAGTTTTGATGAACAGTCAGAAAGTGGCAAACATGAGAACCAAATTTAAAGATGCATAAAGCAATTTTAGTGAAACTAACACAGCCCAGAGATTATTTTGGCCTCTGTGCTTATAGCTTATGTGTTGGCAAACAGTCACATACATCCCATAGACACAGACAAGCAGGATTGTTCCACTGAGGCTGTTGGATATTAACTTGCCTTCTTGCTCTGGTCCACCATATCCTGAGAGAAGTGTTCTTATCTTGTTAGATGCTCTTCATAAGCCTTACATTTACTCCGGCTACCTAACGCAGTTTACAATGGGCTTGTTTCCGTGGAAACAGCTGCCTGTTTGGTTTTATATTGGGGAATTGGCTTGAGCAGTGCGAGTCAACCACACAACTGATGTGCAGGCTGTAGAACCAAAAGGAGCAGAAAGGGGGTGAATCTAGGTACAGCTGAAGAGCAGCAACGTTACTCAGAGTGGGCCCGGTACTACAAGCAACCATTTGAGATTACACAGAATATTATCGGACGCAATGCAGATTTCAAATAGTACAGCTTTGTGTTGATGCATACAATTGCATTTGGTAAATCTTTTCAAATAGGAGTTTAGGAGTAGACCATGGTGAATGACATTCTAACAGGTGTTTGTGTGCGTCTCTGAAGGTACCCTGGCTGGAAACCAAATCGACCAAGGTCAGTTCCACTCTAGTTCTTATGTTTCCAATAATCTGTTTTTAGCTGTGACCAGCAGCCAGTGGGAGTCAGTCCTGTCATTTGGAGTGTCCCACACATTCAAAAGACTTGACTGCATGTTCAGCCAATCTGACACATATCTTACGGTTTTATATCAATTTGAAAGTGGTTCTATTCATTGTTTCACATATCTTGTATACAATTAAAACTACATGGAGTGTAAAAGTAGAAAATACAGTTGATGTGCGTGTTTTCAAACCTCAAATAACAAACTGATGTGAAGAACACTTACTCACTGCCTAGTAATCTGTACCTCTTAACCAGCCATGTTCCACAGTCGGCACAAAATGAAAAAGAACAAAAAACACAGATCCTTGCAAATGTAGAGCTTTGGACTACCACTTGTCACAATCCACTGTAACCTCACCGGTTACCTCTGCTAATGAATATTGTCTTTTATCCAGTCGGAGGCAGCGATATGGCAGCCGGGCTCTGTGGGATCCCAAGACTCACTCTCCATCCCACTCTGTGTCTCGATCCCTCTCTGGTTCTCCCACCCCAAGTCCTCCTCACAGCAAACTTAGAGTGGGCTCCCATCCCCATAGGCCATACACGGGGCCTTACTCTCCTCACAATCAAGCCCGCCACCAACACTACACAGGTAGACCACATGCTAGAGAGAAGTGGGGGAATGCCAATGATCTTAATACCACAACATGAATAATTTGAATTTGACTGTGTATTCTTATAACAGAGCTAATGGCTAATGTTATCAGAGGTTACATTGACTTGCATTACGATGCGTTCAAGCTCTATTCAGTAAAAAATTGTGTTGGGCCGGTTAAATGATAACACTATCATGATGTGTTCAAATATAATCTTGTAAATGTGTTTTTTGTCAAGAAACTTGAATAAGTGCAGTTGTTTGAGGGAGACTCTTTCACAGCAATTTAAAATAGATATTAGAGAGAAGATAGACTATAGATATGTTGGCATTTTAAGTTTGTTTGAGAGGTGCTAGTGTAGAGAAATGAAGCATTAGGAGAAAGGAGGGCATGTCCCTTGTTGGAATGGATGTTGTAGGAATGTGGAATGCAGGATTTTCAGTTTCCATTTATGGGATTGCAAATGTAATAAAACCTGTATAAGCCTTCATCCTGGATTTGAGGAACAAAAGGTCAATTGAAAGGTTCATATTGTACACCGGGGCTTGAAATGGCCAAACATTTGTTCCACATTTCTTTAATTGTATTTGTGAATATCTCTTCAACCATTTCTGTTTGCTCCCCTGTCCTCCGTATGATTCCTGGCATGTCTACAGGGGGTTCTTCTCGAAGTGGTGTGAAGCGTCGTCATGATGATTTCAACAAGTTCTCCACTGGAGCCGGCCGACATCCACCCTCCTCTAAGGCGGGTCATAGCTCCAAACATGGACCACTACAGTCCTCCACCAAAACGGTTAAGAGCGGGACAAAGCCTGGAACCAAGACGACGAAGACGGCAAGTGCCGAGGCTGCTGACGCAGCGTTGTACAAAGCTCAACACAGTAGAACTGTTTTGGACCAAACTTAGACGAAATGTCATAGCTAATTTCAGAAAGAATAATAAATGAGAAGAAAGGGTAGCTCATACAGATGTTTACGAGTGTGAGAATTCAGAACTTTCCTTTGTCCTGAGCAAGTTCCACAGTCTGTACTGTACCAATAGTAAACATGTTTATGTTCTATCTTAAGCACGTTTATTCCTAAATATGTGTCTGCTAAACACCGTAAAATGAACACAACCACAAAAGCCTCTGCCAGTGTATCTGAAGTCGACCATGTTCATAAAGTGGCTTAGTGGCAGTGAAATGACTGAATCAAATGTGTTGGTGAAAGTCGATTATTGACTGACTGACATATCAGTAAACTATCATTGGACAATTATTGATATGGTTATTGTTGAGTTCTTTGCTTTTGAGTATAGCCAGTTACAATGTGACATAATGTACCTGCTGAATGCTTGAAAGGAGTTCAGTAGACACTAGCTTTTACACCATTTCAGGTATTTGTTATTTATGTTATTGAAGCTTACGGATGCCCGAGGCTGATTTCAGGCACAATACTAGAGATCGTTCAGTTCTAGTGGCTTGACAAGTTGAGGTTGAATTATTCCAATTTTACAAAGTTAGCAAATGTTTTTTTTCAGCCACCTCAGTACATTTCTCAAACCCAACCAAAATGTTGTTGTGTATAAAGATTCACAGTTCAGTCCTTGATCAAAGTGTGAACATCTTGCTTTGGTTTGCTTCTGGTTGTCTCTAACTGGTGCTCTCCTAAAACTAACCTAAAAACCTCTGCTGTTGATTTCTAGTCTGCCAAGCTTCCACCAGCCAAGAAGAAGAAGAAACTCGTGACTCCCGCCTCCCAGGACTCGTCCGTTGCCGATCGTCTGGTTTATCTGACAGGCATCCCAAAGGATGCGTCTGAGCAGGAAGTTACCGACTTGGTGGGGTCCTTTGGCAAGATCAACAACGTGATCCTCATGCCATGCTCGGAGGAAGAGAGCCAGAAGGGTGAAGGACAAAAGGTGCTATCCGAGTGTAACATAGTGCTTATTGAGGAATTTTGCAAATATTTTGACTTTTGGGATTTTTTTCAGGTCTATTAGACAACAGTTTAAATGAAAACATGAAAGAGAAAAAATAACTATTTTGCCTGTTTAAAGGCGAGATAGATATCAGAAAAGAACAAAACCTACAGGCAGCCATGAAGGGATCCAACAACCCACTCAACCCATATATAGACTTTTGAATAATCACAATATGAAAGTTGTGTTGTTCACTCATTCATCACTTAAAGCTGATATTTTTCACTGTTGCAGTCTGTTCATTTAGTGAATATTACAGCTAACAGAAATAACATGCAGTCAAAGGGAATACGATTAGATTTGGCCATTTCCTTTTAAAAGATGATGTTTTTCTCTGTTTTGTCGTAGCAACATTAGCCACATCTACATATTCAATATAACTGCAGCTTACAAATAAGACCAGTCACTCCTAAGTCCTGACACCGGTAGCCGTGGATACGTGGCTATGAACATTTCCTGGCTCTGTGTTGTCCCACATTATAACGTGGTCACCCTCCCCTGTTGCAGGCGTCTGTGTGCATGGTGATGGCTGAATGCGCCCAGGCTTTGGCCAACTCCACAAATCTCTCCATCAGAGACCAACAAATCATGGCTTCAATCGCCAAGGTACCGTGTGGAGAACATGTACATGTGGCATTGATGGCGTACCCTGTTTAAACCCTTTGATACATAAAAACATGAAGCCTGAATGAGTGTAAAAAGCAGTTGAAAGTAGGTTGAAGAAGGGGCAGATGTTCATTCAGAAACTATTTGAAACACAAAAATCTCTTTTGACCACATGCGTATATTCTCTCCTCTACTTTCAGTAAACGCGCTTTCTTTATTTGTTTTAGAAACCTGAAGCAGGACAGTCTTCTGACGCTAACAACAGGTTTGTCACAGTTATCATCTGAAACCTTCCCTTTTAACCTCATGTGCTGCACACCCACCCTGCCAATTTCAAAACCGCTCTTGTTCACTCCACTCTTGATATTTCTGTTTCCACAGCAAACCTGCTCCAGCACAGGACAAAGATGCTGCTGGGGAAGACTCTGGTAGCAGAACGACAAACTGGGAGTCTGCAATACCCACCGATAAAATAAGTCAGTGCCAATATATCCAAATCTATCGTTGTCAAGAAATGCTTAGTATCCAAACAATGTATAGACTCATACAGAATAATCTCTGTCATCACATTTGACCCACTAGAAGTGTGTGGAGGTGTCTGCAGAGAGCCTGCCCTCTGCCTGGAGTTTGTCTTTTCTTCTTCTTTGGCTATGTTTGGGCGTTTCTGGGCGTGAGCAGAGAGCCTTTGGGCCCCATGTGGGGGCGTAAGCAGGATGTGCAGCCTGTTCAGGTTGTCGGGCCCCTCAGTGTCTGATACCATCGAAGCACAGGTCCCCTTTTAGCCTGTGTATGATGCAAAGCTGGTGTATTTGACGACTTGGGATGAGAACGGGTTGTTACATGGCTGTGTTTCCATGTGCTCCAGCCTTCCTCTGCTTCTCTCTCTCGCTCCTCTGCTGTGTGCTGCTATCGGTGAGCCACACACAGGGCGGACAGGATGAAGCCTGAGCTTCGGCTGCATTCAATTCACAATATGTTTAGGTTAGTTTATTTCTGCTTTAGAACGTAACCACTGTGAAAATATCTTCCTCAGATTCACTGCTTTGTTCTTGCTAACGCCACTCGCTCTCCTCACTTACTCTACTTTGACTGCATTATTTCAATCCGCAAAATGCAACATATTAGCTATACTTGATCAATTACATTTAAGCTGCCTGACACTCTGCCTCCCCGGCTGCACCTTGAGATCCTGTCCATGAATAGCACAAATACAATCGGTGACAAGGGACAACCCTGGTTGAAGGTCAATACTTACTGAAAACATGTTTGACTTGACTGAGAATGGGGACACAGCTCTCACAGACACTTCTGCAGTGCCCCCCACAGGACTCCCTGGGGGACGCACCATAAGCCTTCTCCAAGTCCACAAAAACATGTAGACTGGTTGGGTAAAGGCCTCCATAGGTCGCCACCAGGTCAAGCACCAAAAACCTTCTGACCGCACCTCTATAGCAGCCACCCCAACATGGCTCACTCTGATTCCATGTCTCCCCCCCCCCGGGAGGCACAATAAATTCTTCCGGTGGGGGAGTTGCCGGCCTAGAGGACGGGGACTGCAGCCAGATGTTCCCAGTTCACCCTCGCAACACATTTGGTTGGGTTTATCAGGTCTGTCTCTCCCTCTCCCCCCTATTTGGTACAGAAGCACAACAACAGTCAGACTCATCAACAGGCTGTGGCATAGAGCATAGACGCTCACCTTCCCCATGCGTGGAGGTGAGCCCAACTACATCTAGTTGATGCCGCTCCTCCTCTCGCACGAGCACAGGTTCCTTTTCTGACAGACGGGTGACGTTCTAAGTCCCAAGCCAGCCTGCGGTGCCGGGGGTCGGCACACCGTGGCCCCTGGCTCACAATGCACCCGACCCCAAATGCCTATCCCTGCGAGTGGTGGGCCCACAGGGTGACTGCTCCATGTGCCAGTCTTGTAGCTAAGGCCCATGTAGACGGGTTGGTGATGTCATGGCGTGTGGTTGTGGTGTTGAAAACATACTAATTGTAGCTCTGTTTGCACTTCCTCCTCCAACTCCCCACTGCAGGAGGCGAGGCTGACCAGAAGGCTTTTGATGAGGTACATGATGCACACATACCCTGTCAAATATAACATCAATATATATATAACTATAACAGCATTGTGAAAAGGGCTGGTGAGTGTTGTCATCCAAATCCAGAGGGTCCTGTGTGATTATTTGGACATATTCTGCTTTATTGTACCAAACTTTCAATTTGGGTAAAATCCATCACTTGTAATAAAATATTAGTGTTCAGTTATTTTGCATTGTATTACATCCCAATACAATGTCTCCTACAGAGGGGCATGGTGTTGATCACAGGACTTCCTGAGAGCGGCTGGTCGGAGAGTGACATCTTGAATCTGGTCCAGCCCTTCGGACCCCCCTCTGACGTCATCACGGCAACACAAATCGGAAAGGTTGGTATTAACTCAGTCTTAAGCTGTGACTGCTAATGCAAGTCCTAAGTTCCTTGACGTTTTTTCAAGATGCTGCCGTTCTCTGTTAGTTTAGGCTCCAAAGCAGCTGTTGAGTAAATGAGCATGAATAGCACAAAACAAAATACAGCGTACGCTATGTCTACAGAATTCATCTGTCTGTACATAATATTTTTCAATGCATTTTATTAAAGGAGTTTATTACTTATATTATGAATAGGTTATATACTGATATTCTATTATTATGTAAAATACTGATTGACAGTGAAAAGAATGCTCTGGAGCTCGTTTTCAGGGCAGCTATGGTCTTTCCTATGAACGGACATAAAGTTGATGTGCCTACAACACAAGATTACAAACACTCTTGTTGTATGTTAGGTACTTGTGTCAGTGCCAGACATGGAGATTGCTCAAGAGATAGTGAAGGTCCACGCCTTCATCCCTGCAAAGATTGAAGACTCTGAGCTGAAGATGATCCATCTCAAACAGCGTATTGGTCTCAGCACACCGGTAGGACTCTCATCACTTATCCAGTTTTGCTCTCCAGCATGTTGATCGTCTATTATCTTCTGTAGCCGTCTAGGGTTCTTTGTTCATCATCTCACTTCTGAGAGGTCGGGTCTTTGACATTGTACTGTGTAAAACAATGAGCGTTGAGCAATAACTGAGATTCATACTAAATCATTCTTTACACAGGTGGCTCTCTACAATCTTCTGATGGGATCAGTGGACCCATTAGTGAGTATTTCTACCAGTATACTTCTCTGTCTCAACTTATTTTACTTAATGGTTTCTTGATGTCACAGGGACAGTGCACATTAAATAGACTTTGCTGTAACTGCTCCAGAGTTGGAGGGAGATTTCATCGGTACTCCCTCCACAGTGGTCAGGTTATTGATCATTCGACATAGTGTGTGCGTGTTTGGAAATCCAAAGGTGGATTACCACAAAGCTCCCATCACACTGACCAACCTAGATTAAGCTACCTCACAGTGAATGCATGACAACACATCCTACAAACTGGAAAGGGTTTGTTTGAGGCTCTGACCTCAGACAAAAAGTGAATTAACAAACAAAGCAATATCTTATGTGGTTCCCATATGTTTGGTTTCAAGGGGCTGTGAAACCATCGTTTATTGACATAATGTATTTGTCAGACTAACTTATTTGTATACTTTGAAGTGATTGCTACATTGCTGAACTGGTAATGATTTTGCTTCCTGCAGGAGAGTTCTTTTCCAGTTGGCTGGAGCTGCCTGTTGGTGATCAGTAATGTTCCCAACACGCCGTCCGGCCCCTCTGAGGTCCAGAAATTGGTGCGACGCTTTGGCACCGTCATCAAGACCCTAGTGCTTAACGATACGGTGAGGGCTGTTCGTCTGTGCAGCTGCGAACATGCTAATCCATTATCCCCTGAACCTTACTGGTTGTATCTAAAAGCTCTTTTGCAGTACGAGTGCACTCAGTCACAGCTATGGCCTGGGTTGAGAATGTGTTCTCTCCACATATCTGTCATGTCTCACCTCTTTATTTGTCAGGCAAAGACATCCCATATGCTGCTGACCTGATTATATGTCTCTTCCTGCTCAGGTCATTTGTGAGATGGCAACTGCAGCTATGGCCTTGTCTGTGTACAAACGCTTCCAGATGTTTCCGTGCATCATCCATAACAACCCGCTGTTCTTCTCCCGCAAGCCTGACCCCAAAGCCAACATACAGACCAAAGTCATCACTGCATACCTTGAATCATCTGAGGTTGGTAACTTTGATCATTGATTTGCAATGGTCATAAATTATGGAACATCCTTTTGTCTACTGCTGCCATACATTCCTGCAGCTTAAACTCGTATCAAACACCTGAATGCATGGGTTTGATGTGACACGATCAATACCTCCCTGTCTCTGATCGTAGGATACACCTGCAACGGGCAAAGACAGCCAAGCAGCAGCTGCAGACAAAGAGGAGACAGCTCAAAAAGAGAATTCTGAGTCTCTATTGGAGGAAATTGAAAAATATGGCGATTACCAGGATGAGAAAATGAAGAGCACCGACGAGACAGTTGGTGAAGACGAAGCTTTGGGAGAAAACAGGAGCCAAGATGACGACGTCGAAAAAGACGTGCCTACTGCTGCTGTTTCTGACTCTTTGAATGCACCAGAAGCAGACCTGGAGACACACATGAGTGAAAGATCAGATGTTGAAACTGTCATGGAGACAGCAGAAGAGAACAGAGCTGTCAATGCATCCACAGCAGGCAATGACGGGACTCCTGCTGGTGAACAGACAAAGACATCTAGCTCTGATGGCGAAGCAGCTCCCCAGGAGGCGGCCATGCCAGAGCTCCCTAAGGTAAAATATCCTCCTGTTGTTGGAACCAGATTGTGTAGCAAAGTTCAGAAACCTCCAAGATATGAATTGATATTTGTGAGTTTTGACGTCTTTCTGATCCCTGTTTTATCAGGTTACTCAGGAGATGGTTAACGCACTGCTTGTGGAGTGCCGAACAAGAACCGTCAGCCATCCCATCAACACAGCAGCTCCCACCAACACACAAATAGAGACAGAGCAGGGGGATAAAGCAACAAAGGAGACAAAAGAGCTAGCCAGCAATCCCACAGAGGAGGAGGTGAAAAAGCAGGAGAGGGAGCTAAAAGAGAGGGAGGCAGGAAAGGAGGCGAGGGAGAGAGAGAGGAGGGAGAAGGAGAGGAGGGACTGGGAGAAGGAGAGGACCAAGCGGGAGAGGGAGCGTCATGAAAGGGCCAGGAGGGAGAGGGAGGAGAGGAGGGTGGAGGAGAGGAGGGTGGAGGAGAGGAGGGTGGAGGAGAGGCGGGAAAGGGAGAGGCGGGAGAGGAAGAGAGCATACAGTGAAGGTTTGTCAGGGTGGAGGTCGTCCTCCAGGTCAGAGGGATACAAGCAGAGCTCCTGGAGGGACGAACGGTACAACAACTTTGAAGCAGAGACAGAAATGGTGAGAAGGCCTCGCCGGGTCACAAAGTGTTCTCTCTCCTCTTTATTCATATCCTCACTTCTATGCTTTTGTCCTGTCGTGGAATCAGGTGGAGGAGTGTGTTGACTTCCCATTCAACTTGAGTGACTTTGTGACGGTAGATGAAGTTGGAGATGTGAATGACCTTCCTTCCTCTCCTTCCCCCTCTGTTCCCATGGAAACCACGGAGGGAGGGGAGGATGCTCCCACATCTGTCCAACAGGAAACTCCAGGGGTACATGTGAGACGTCTTCTCTGCATGTTTATTAGAGGTTCTGATTTAAATCTCCACAATTTAATGACGTCACGGTCCTCTTCCTGTTTCCTGTTTGTAGGACACGCCCATGGAGGTTCCCACGGAAATAACAGTGTCAGACGCCCCAGCGACCCTGGTGAAGTGTGATGAGCACGTATCAGAGTCTGAACCTGTGACTGTGTCCACAGCGGAGACTTCAGATGTTTTAGAGTCATCAGATGTAACACTCGTCGATGCAGCTTCCCCAGCGACTTCACAAGCTGATTCCTCACCCGGCCAAACGCACGCGCCAACATGTGGACCAGAAGCACCCACTGAGACAGGTACTATCTCTCACTCCATCAATCCTCATAGAGATGCAATGAGTGCAATTTTCTTAGCCGATTATGATTTAAAAAAATAATAATAATAATCTGTAAAACCTATAATTTTTTCCCCACTGTCACAAAGTCAAAAATTCTATATTTTATCCTTTAACTTTTTGATTGTCATCTAAAGTTTGCAGAAAAACACCCACCTTGGCATTAGTAGTTTTAAATATAGATTTGAAGCTGCTGTTAGGGAGTTAAACAGGTAATAGTCTCTCTAATATTGCTGTGTGCAGGACATATGAGAGTGATCGGCTGATCAGTGCAGCTCTAGTAATGAATTAAAGGAAACATCTGTATTGTTCTTGAATTTGAAGTTTTTTTTTCCTTCACTTTTTAAGACGTTTTTGTCATTCTATAGAAGCCACACTGACAGACACTCTGGAATCCACCACTGAAGTTGAACCGCTTCCCACACCTGCAGCTTCAGCCACTCCAGCTGGAGCCTCCCCAAACAGCCCAGCAACAGGAGTAGTGACTTCAGAGAGGGAGAATGAGAAGAATGCACTCAATCACAGTCAGGCTAAGGAGGAGGAGATGGTGTCTGACAAAACAGAGGAAGAGGAGAAGAAGCAGGATGAAAAGGACAAAGAGCCGGAAGCTCCTTCTGTGGAGACAGGTATAGTTTACTTGATTTGTGTGGCAGCAGTACCTTAGTGGGTAGAGAATCAGCAGGCGAGTTACCAGCACGTCTTTACTTGGATCCTTGAATTGGTTGAGAAAATGTGGACGTGAGAAATGACAATTGTATGGCTGACACTTGAATGCTTCGTGTCCTAATTGACTTCTTCTTCAACATGGCGCCTCATCCTTGTGGTTTGGAGCTGCTAGAATAGATGCAGGTGTTTAGTAATGACGACACCAAGATGAAACACCATGATTACGAGCTTATCTGGATACGCTTGCTGAGTAAAACCACGACCAGGGCTTTTTAGTCCCTGTTCCAGATTTTAAACCGGTATTTGTCTCTCACAGGAAAGCATGAGAGGTCTGAAGATCAAGCAAACGGCGAAGAGGAGAGTGTGAAGAAGAAGTTAAAGACAGACACTCCCACTGACTACTCCCTCCCTCCTTTTGACCCCAGCTGCCCAGTTGGTAAGACACTTGTCTATATTTACTCGTCATGTCAGCCATTACACTTTCACTATCGTGTTCATCTGTTTCTTACATGCATGTTCACAATGTCTGACTATCTGACAGTGGTCATCAGTTGATAGAGTTCACTCCATGTTTGTGTGTTTTTCCACAGGTATAGAGTTCTTGGTCCCAAAGACGGGTTTCTTCTGTAAAGTGTGTAATAGGTTCTTCAATGGAGCCAAAGAGGCCGAGAAAAACCACTGCAAGACCCTCAAACACTATGAGAACCTACAGGTAGGCTCACACACATCACGCAATCCACTAAATGGAAGACTCATGGCTGTCGCAGTTGTACAGAGTGAAGCTTCTCTTACCACCAGCCATCAAGTCACACTAAGTAGTGTCGCTAAGTCACAGCTGATGTGACCTACCACTGGTGACGTTCGCCATTTGAACCCGTGAAAGCAACAGTAATAGTTTCTTTAATGAAATATCATCCTCTGGAGAAATCCTTAGCTTTTCATTTCTTTTAGCTTCCTCTAAAAAGATAGTTTGGCCATTTAAAACGATATGTGCACTTCAAACATGCTCGTCAGATGCTTTCATTGTGTTTGAGCCTTTAAGATGGAATTTACCATCACTAGGCCTGACTACTATCCAGCTGTGCTCCATATGTTTCTAAAACGTACATCAGCACATGATGATCTAACGTTAGCACTTCTATGCTATGCTAGCTACTGAAGGTATACTCAATGTGTTTTAAGGATTGTAACAGTGAAAGACCTACCCGTCTTTAAAGGATCACTGTTCTGTTATTTCTTTGTCTTCTGTCTGGATCTCCAGGTCATGTGCTGGTTCACTTTTACACTTTAGCTTCTATCTTTTAACCTGTTTTTTGCTGAATCACTTTTTAGATAATATGAAGATAATATCTCTTCAGTGAGTACAGTGACAGTGTGGGCTCCATGGTAACGTAGCTCTGACAGCTTGATGGAGTAGTAGAGGGGGGCGGGGCTTAGCCAAGGGTCAACTGTCTCCATCTTTCTCCTCTTCTCTATAACAACAGGCACATCACAGGTTGTGAGTGTGTCTAGAAATAAATGAAACAGATCAGCGATCATTTCTTCCCAAAACCCTGCTGTGGCTCTACGTGGCCGTTCGGCTTTATGGTTTTAAATTGTAGTCAACGGTGATCTCTGATCAGAACATCCTCTCTGCTCCTGAGCTTCTTGTACAAGTCAATTTGTGACATTCCACCCATACAGGAAATTCAAGGAATATTTTTATTTCAGCATAAGTATTGAGTGACCAAAGCTGTGACACTGGAGAAATACACTTCTCTGGACACTTATTGTAATACAGCTTTCAATGTCGTCAGACATGTTTGGTCTCAAAGAGGCCAGAATATTCCGGTCTAATCCAGTTTCCTGTTCATTCTCTTCTAGAAATACTTGAGGACCACGAACCCAGCGACTGTGTCTTCTCAAACCTGACTCCACCTGGATGCGCCTATGAAAATCTTGACTGAATTCACCATTCCCCTCCTGTTGTATTGTCTCTTCATTTCTCACCAAGGGTCCAGATTCTCATATTGATGTAGATTAGTCTCATGTCCTTGAATATGTGGTATAGATTTTTCATGTACAGTTAAGAGAAATTAGTAGAAAGTGGGAAGAGTGGAAGATGGCTCGCTGTAAGGACTGTGCAGTCAATAAACACTTTGACTAAATGGTCTGTTTCCACTCATTCAGTGTTTGTGGTGTATGCTCAGAGCTTTGACGGGAAAACAACATGGAGAGGCTTTAAAGCAGTTTTGACCACACTGATCATAAAACTCACGGGTCGGATCAGCACAATAGAAAAAAGGGAGCAAATAGAACTTTTAGAAATCCACGACATTTTTTTTCCCGCAGATCATTAATGATCTATATTGGCAGATACAGATCCCTTTATTATTATGATTATAGCCGCTGGTCTACAAGGATCCAGACTATTTTTGTCACCGTCCCAAAAATCATTTCAACGCTCTGAAGTCTGTTAAACCATCAGAAACTCTAAATGTTATTCTTTTACTTTGTTATAGTCATCTATAATAGGAGTTTTCGTCATGAAATTCAACTGATGCAGAAATAAAAGATTGCATTTTTATTGACTAATACAAATGTCATTATTTTTAATATATTATAATGTGCTTAGAGCTTGTGTTATGAAGTTAAACGGCTCATAATTCATCTCTAATATTTATTTTATATTCATGTGAAAACCTCTCCTTCAAACTACTGGATTTATTCAAGTTTATCACTAAAACTACATTTTACAGATTATATGTGAACACATCATGGTAATGTTATAATTTACTTCAGCCCAATATGAATTTTCACTGAGCAGAGCCTGAAGGCATCGTAATGTAATTGAAGTGAACCTCTGTTGGTTAGCCGTTGGTTCACAATGTAGCATTATCAGAGATCAGAGACTAGGAACACAGCAATGATGTCCTGATCACATATTTTACTGAATATTGGAGGATAACGATGTCAGTAAAACTTTATTTCACACCGATGACCGGAGGGGGATCTGTACGGATCACGGTCCGTTTCACCACTAACACAGTGCTGGATTTCCCCTTTCTTCACAATAACTTTAACCTATATGCTATAGAGTTCATTTCAAGAGGAGTTCATTTGCCTTTTCCAGAGAAAACCCAGCGCTGTCCTCCAGATCTCACCAACATTTGAGAAAATTATCACTTCAACTCCCGCAGAAGAGCTGGACTGGCCAATGGGTGATCGACCTCTGATATCTCCCCTTAATCACTGATGTTTTGGAACCATGTTGTGATGTTTACAAGTACATGTTTTCAATAAGAGTATGGCACATTGTGGGGATTAGAGAAGCGGGAGTCAGTCAGTCCTCCTCACTCACGTGACACATTCTGTTGTGTAGCACCTCCACAGTGGAGCCAACAACTCTCTTACATTCACTGTCGGACATGTTTTTTTGTTGCCATTTATTTTAAATAACTCGTTACAATACCATAAATATTGTGATGACATTTTCATTTATTGTCTTAATATTTATACCTATATTATTATTGAATGGTACAACACACTCCTAGATAGATGGATCGTTCAGGGGGAAATTAGTTTGTAGCAGCAGCAATTTACAGAGTAATGTGCAATATTACGTATGGAAATGCACAATATATATACAGTCCAATAAAATAAGAGCAGATATTGAATTTGAAGAAATGGAATAATAAAAAATAAGATCATTTTTTTGAAGGATCCAAGTTTCCTCAAGAAAAAGAGTCGACTCATCCCCTTCTTGTACACAGCATTGATGTTGGTCTTCCAGTTCAGTCTGCTGTCGATGGAGACACCCAGGAACTTGTACTCCTCCAGCATGTCCACATCCTCTCCCAGAACTCTCAGCGGTTGTGGAGCCGTCGTCTTCCTCCTGAAGTCGACCACCATCTCTCTGGTCTTGGCCACGTTCAGACGCAGGTGATTTCTACCGGCCCACTCCACAAAGTCATCCACTACTGCCCTGTACTCCTCCCGTCCATCCCTTATACACCTGACCACTGCAGAGTCATCAGAGAACTTCTGCAGATGGCATGACCCCGAATTGTACTGGAAGTCAGTGGTGAACAAGGTGAACAGGAAGGGAGACAGAACTGTTCACTGTGGAGGTCTAGTACCACTGACCACCGTATCAGACAGCACACGGCCCAGTCGGACAAACTGTGGTCTGCCCGTGAGGTAGTCAGTGATCCAGGAGATGGTGGATGTGTCTACCCCCACCACCCGCAGCTTCTCACTCAGCAGCAGTGGTTGGATAGTGTTGAATGCACTGGAGAAGTCAAAGAAAGTGATTCTGACAGAGCCACCGGTTCTATCCAGGTGCGACTGAGCTCATTGCAGCAGGTAGATGATGGCGTCGTCCACTCCCACATGACGCTGGTATGCAAACTGCAGAGGGTCCAGTGAGGATTTCACCTGCGGTCGGAGATGGGCCAAGACCAGCCTCTCCAGCACCTTCATCACATGTGATGTGAGGGCAACTGGTCGGTAGTCGTTGAGGCTAGATGGTGTCATCTTCTAGTTCTATGTCTTTGTTTTTTCTGCAAAGTCAGCAGATCTAAAATAAGTCGCTGCAGTACAGCAGACCGACTAACAGAGCGTCCTCCTTCTCTTACCACTCTTCGTCGGCAGTAACCTCGGCTGAGTTTAGCCATCCATGTTCAAAATCTTTATTTGGCCCGTTTCACATGTAAGTAATGAAGTAATGAAAAAAGGCCTTCAGTGCTGTCCTACTACAGTTGAACCACCTCCTAATGACCTCATTATGACGCCACAGCTACGGGTTATTATTTGTTTTGTGTAAAAACCTCATATTCACATGACACTGCAACATTTGCCAAGTGAAATAAAATGTTACCTGAAGCTCAACACGTAAGAGGGCTACAAATACACTAACTGCAGAGTGCAGAGACATGAATACGCGCATGACGGGATGCTTTGTCATTAACGGACAATGCATATAGTCAAAATCAATGTAATTAACACAATGACAAGAGGAAACTCACAAGAAATAGTCACATATATTTATATGACAACAAAGCAGGTAGAATAATATACAGTAAAACCCAAATAACACGATTCAACAGGCCTCTGCACATTCCAGCAACACTGCGGCGCTAAAACATGCATTCCGCCACCCACTCAAGAACACCATTAAAATATTATTCACATCAGAAGGAACAATATTAACCATATCATAAAAACAATACCATAGAAAAATGAACACAGTTAACGCTACTGCTAATGTAAAAAAACAAAAGCACTTCACTTACCAAAGCTGCTGTTCACTTCAAGACAAAGTCCATGCTCCTTTCTTTGATTACAAAGAGTTTAATGACACGGTTGTACAGTAACGTTACATCGGTGCGGTTCAGTTTCAGCCAGAGGTCCTTCTCGATTCATGGACGCCAGTGATGACAGTTGTAATTCTTAAATATGTTTTAATGTGTTTGAAGGCTGAAAATGTCCGCTCGACAGAAGCGGTAGATATTGGGATTGTCACCGCCAAATATGCCAAAATGCTAAAAATGTAATGTCACGTAAAATCTTCTTGCATATCTTTAAACTTGCTAACTCTTACTACTACAAAGTTCTGCTAGCTCGCTTCACAACAGCCACGCTAGCCCACTGACCAATCAAGCCGCACGTTAATGCTGACATACTTGCAGGCCAGCTAGCAGGCTCTGACACGTCAAAGAATACGCCCAACGTGTCAAACTAAAGATCTGATTGGTTGAAGACTATGACAATCAACAATAAAAGTCCCCATTTACTTAAACTGCAAAGGGATTCACTTGTAACTCTGAAGGCCTCGGGCAGATTTCTTTACTTAGAGACAGCATAGGGCCGGAATCTGATTGGATAAAAGCTCTACTTAAAACAAGCTGCACTGGAAGTGCAACTAAGGAAGACAGTAGCTATGCAATGAGATAATAAGCTAATGGGAAAAAATATTTAAAATACATGTAGTGTATTTATGAAAAATGATAAAATAGCTATAACTTTGTGATTCTGTCTCGGCCAGCAGAGAAGGCCTTGCTGGCCCTGACGGCCCACCACTGAAGTAATGCATCAGTTATGTCATTCTGTCCTTGTCTAGAAAGTAAAAGAGCAGAGAGGAGTCAGTGTGCTGCAGAGGTATGGGCAGAGAGAGAATTTAAAAAGGCATACCTTTAACTGCTGCACCTGTCGAGCAGGTTGGATTGGATAAAGTTTGAGGGGGGAGGGGTCAACAGCACAATGACAGAAAGAAGGAAGTCAAAAGGAAATGAATGTGACAACTGGTGAGCAGACACTCACAGACACAATATAAGGAGAAAAGACTGTAGAGAAGGAGAAAGACTGAGAAAGTCTTGGAAATATGCTGCATCTGTTTACCACTGACATCTCCTCCTGAATCCCTTCAGTCCTTACAGAAGGTAAGGCCTGTCTAACTACGTCAGAAGCACTGTGGAACCTGTATGTCTCACATGTCTCTTATATTATGAAGTTCTCTTTTTTAATGTCTGGATATCATCAAGTCCAAGCTAATGGACTAAACAGAATCTGTGGTACATTTGCATAACTCCAAAACATTGTCTGTTGTCTCAAAGTAACTCCTGTATGTGAGATAACAGGAGTTACTTTGTAGGTATATAGTATTTGTGTACTGGTACTCAAAGCTCCAACATTAACACATGGACAACATGTTAAAAGATGTTAAAATGTTCAAGCTAACCACAGTGTTTGTTATGTGTCCAGCTAAAAGCCATTTTTTTGTGTTAGATCATTGCTCTATTGTTAGAAGTATGTGATTGTGAGTGTGTGAAAGAATGTGATAAGGTGGATAAGTGGAGACTGAAACTACTTCTTGTTCCTACGGAGGCTGAACACACTGTAGCTTTACAGTTTCACCATGCAGAACTCAACCCATGACTGACATCTCAATATGCAACAATGCACCGAGTGCTACTGTTGACAGGCGATGTAGAGCTGCGTTGTATAACCTCAAATTGTACCTGACACATGAGATCAAAGAGAAGCAAGTTTAAATACGTGTCTTAGATATGACAAGCCCTGGAGCAGCACCTCACATCTCTGATCACCAACTTCCATTCAGATCCAATTGAGTAAGTTCACAAAGGACAGGGAGTTGTGAAAATCATTCACCGTGAAGGTGTATAAGTAACCACACTTTTGAATGAAATGCTATATTCACTGTGTAAAGTTGAGCTGTAGATGTGTGGGGTGTTCAGTTTGGATAAAACTCTGCTAGAAGGGTCCCCCTGCATTCAGACGGACAGAGAGAAAATGTATACGTCCTCATCGGACCCTGTAAAACTGCTTGCAGGTATTCCTTAAAATGTTTGATTGTTACTTTAAAAATGTTAAATGTGCAACTTTTCCATAGAATCCAAACACATTTAAATTCAGAGCCTTTCAGAGTTCTGGACCAAGGTTGAACCTAACCTGATAATAAGACTTCCTTTCACTGAACTCTGTTCATGTTAGCCTGTTTGTGGTAGGTTTGATTGTTTTCATTATTTTGTTATGTATGCGTCATTTTTAGTCAACATGGGAGCTGTGGTAGAAAATGTGATTTGAGAGTTGTACAACTTATACAGCCACTCTGATCTCATTCACACTTGTGGCCATTTGACTCTCGCTATTTGTCATGAACGTAGCTAGGTGGCTATGTAGGCACCTGACGCCCAAAAAAATGGTAAATGGACTACCATGCGAGATGCCATCTGCCCATCAGGACTAAACTAGTTCACATTCACATCCATTCATACAGTTTGCAGGTTAAGTGTCATGCCCAAGGATACATCGACATAGACTGGAGGATCGAACTCCCAATCTTCCAATTGGACCCGCTCTACCATGAGCTAGATGTGTCTCACTCTAAACTCTAAATACTGGCACTATGTGTACTACAGCTGCTTGTGTGTGTGTGTGTGTGTGTGTGTATTCTAGTCCTCAGTAATAGAATGCTAAATGTTGGATCCCTTCTTCAGATCCGTACAGGCTTAGTTGTGAGTTAAATTAGGATTCATTTTGGGAGCAGATTAGTGTAAGGGTAGAAGTTAGGGGACAGATACAATAACAGGTAGCAGTACAAAGGTGTGTGTGTGTGTGTGTGTGTGTGTGTGTGTGTGTGTGTGTGTGTGTGTGTGTGTGTGTGTGTGTGTGTGTGTGTGTGTGTGTGTGTGCTTTCTACAGACACTGAGAGAGACAGACACAAAATTAAACTAACTTCTTACCAAGTGTATCCATGACTCAGCATTTATCTACTAAATAAACAGCTGGTTATGCAGACACTGCAGCTGACACCAACATGGCAAATAACAGGTGTTCCATAAGTCATTAAATCTTCCAAATCATTGCAAAGTTCAGTAGTAAAATGGTTGTGTAAAATAGTATAATAGTGACCGATTATGAAAGAATACTAAATAACCACTAAAATTAACAATTAAAGGGGTACTCATAGTGATTTAGTATGTCGAGCAAAATTATCTCAATGATATGTAAAATCAGGATGTAGGACGTAAGTTTCTCATTACTTTCTTCTTCCAACAACTGGAGAAAGTTGAATCATATTAACACCTGAAACCAGCTCGAGGTTTAGTATAGAACACTGATAACGACGCTACGTTAGAGCCATGTGGCTGTCTGAGGAAGATATAAACCCTCCTGCCAATCAGAATCAAGTACTCGCTCTTTGCCTGTGGTGAAGTAACATTTTGCTTTTATTTCAAAATGTTAGCAAAATATCTGAAAAACATTTATAACTTAATGGACAAATTGTTCCTGGACAACTGACTTTTGCTCTCAGCAGAGTTTCCTCTGCAGTTCTCCCCTCCAAAGTAGTTACAATTTAGTAACTGATGGTGTCCTTGAAAAAAGTATGACTGTGATGCTTCAGTCTTGGAAAAAAGAGACATAGTGGCATGTTATCTGTTGTGCGTTTATCCAGCCAATAATAAAGAATAAGGCTGACATTGTTCTGTATTTGTCTTATTGTCATGGCACTCAGACATAAGTCGAATTGTTCATACTAAAGATGTAAATCTTTAAAAATGGCTCACTAGTTTGTAGTTTAAATTATTTTAAAGGTCCAGTATTTTCCTAGAACAACTGGTCACTGTAGTTTTAAACAAATGGTATTCAAACAGGACAAAATAGTGCATTAGTGTGTGTGTTCATGGTAAAGAAAGAACATGTCAGCCAATGTAACAGTGAGGTTCACTGATGTGTTTTTAATATGGCTCACAGGAAGAAGAGATTTATCCGGCTTTAATCTACACACAGTACAGTGTTGGTTTTGGTCTGTTGTTGTCTGTAAGAAAAATATAGAATATCACCAGATTTATCTTCTAAGGAAGCAGTCTGGTACCTAATATTTCAAACAAAGAGAAGAGGAAGTGTGAATGACTTGCAGCTGTTTGTTGCCATGATGACCTCATGGTCAGCAGGCAGAGTCTAACTGGTCCAACCAAACCTGAATTTCCTGATCTTGCGAAACTACTCAATAGTATTGTTTGAATGTGTATGTGAGCATGGGTGTGTTTAAGTGCAGGAGGCACACACTCGTTCAGATAGACTGACGTTCTACCAGAGAGGAGTACAATGCTTCTAACAGTGCTGCTTCATGTGTTATTACACTCACTCCAACAATTGAAGCTGTTTATGGGTCAGGTTACAAGTAAAATTTGTTTTGGGTGAGGCCAAGGGTTCAAGTTAAGGATTAGCATTAAGTTAAATTCATCATCAAATTCCAATCACAGCATTGTAACTAAACCACCTCACTGTCTGATAATAGATCACTGTTTAGCCCACAGTGTGTTGAGTAACCATGCATTGATGGCTTGTAATATTCTGACGGTAAGAAAGAAGAACATTTAGCAGCTCCAAGGCTGGATGATATTCTAAACTTTCCTGAGCTGTATTTGCTCAAATAGAAAGTAAACAAACAACTAATGTTTTTCCACTGTTGATTCATAGTGGATTTAATGATATGATATGTATTTACTCCTACCCTTTGCATAGAGAGTATCATGGATAATAACTAATTAGCATGTCAGATTCCACTGGAGCTGAGAGAGGAAAGTCATTTGAGTGAACTGACTTTCCTTAATTTGATGAATCGTCCTCGAGCTGGGCTGTCAGACTAAACGGAGCGTGTGTTTGCTAAAAGGTCCAAGTGAGAAAGATGAAATATAAGCCTGTAAGTCCACATTGAGGGCTCATTTAGATGCAGGGACACTACACAGCAGTTTATACTGGTTTGACGCTGGATTGAAAAACTCTGCAAAGTTCCTCTGATGATGCATCACTGAATGATAATGCATCAGGATGTAGAGAAAGTAAGCAATTAAGAAAAAATATATTTTCTGCACTGAAATTAATGTGTTTTTTCCTGAAATATTCTGTAGTGGTGGTACTGTCAGTGATCGATTGTGTAATCAGCTGTTGCCTTAAATGTAAATAAGCAGATTGTGAGTCTAGACAGAAAGCCAGGCCTCTTCATGTGAGTACATCTGATTCCACTGTATTTCACATTACCATAGGAACCTGATTGAGTTGTTTTTTACAATGCCTGCAAGTAAAGAACATTTTCCTTTAATGCATCAGGTTTCATGATCACAACAATGAGCAGATGAAGATTGTATGTCTGTCATTAGGGTTTTAAATATCCTGAATTACGTATTTCTTTCGTATTTCTTTCATATTTCTTTCGTTTCTTTCATATTTCTTTCGTATTTCTTTCTATCACTCATACAGCTTCACATTGGATGACTATGGCGCTGCCTGCGGCCTTTCTTTCTGAAGACCAGTTCACCTGCTCGATCTGTCTTGAGGTGTTCAACAACCCAGTCTCAACACCATGCGGCCACAGCTTCTGCCAGGCCTGCATCTCCTACTACTGGGATGGAGGAGGAGGCGCCAAATTCTACCAGTGTCCCCTCTGCAAGGAGTCCTTCCGCAAGCGGCCAGAGCTCCATATCAACCGAACTCTGAAGGAAATCACTGAACAGTTCAAGGAGATGGCCAATGCTGGAGAGCCAATGGATGGAAGAGAAGGAGGAGTGGAGGATCCAAATTCACATCATCACCACCTGGCCCTGTCTCCACCCCAGAGGCCAGGAGAGATGCCAGAGACCATCTTTACTGAAATGATGACTCTTTTTCAGCAGCTGCCGACTCCTGGGTTTCCTCCCTCCTACCCCAATGACCCTCAACCCCAAAGCCCCAACAGTGAGCCCCTCGACCCGCCTCCACCCTACTCACCTCCCCACAGGTGACAAACTACATTCCTTAGACTACATTGAAATGGGTTTGACTTGTCTTTAACGCTCCACAGAAAAGGCTATTACTACAATAGTAATGGTTGGTGAGTAATTGTCGTATAATAGTGCCACAAATTAACCTCGCTTTGTTTTAAAAAACCTGACATATTGATGGTATGTTGTTGGGTGTGCTAAATTAACAGGAAACATGCTGAGACAAAGAAAAGTGTAATCTGGGAGCAAGACTTGCTAGGGGACCTTTAAGGCAGTATTCAAGGATTCAAAGATAATTTATTGTCATTCACACGCAAGGACCACACCATGAAATAGAAGCGTGTAACAGATTTATTGAAGGTAAACGTGATTGAGATGCGAGGCTTGAACTTCGTGTAGCTCATCCGGTTAGCCGAATGAGTTGTGGGGAGCTTCGATAGGGAATCCGCCGTAGCACCCGGGCACGCCGAACCCCCTCAGGACCCTACGTAGAGGAGAGGAGGAGAGAGAAAGAGAGAGGAGGAGAGAAAACAGAGAGGGAGGGAGGGATACCGAATACAAGAGCGGACCAGGAGGAGCGGGTTAGGCGGGTATTTATGGATATGCAGGAAGTGGTAGGGTTGAGGAGTAGTCCTGCTCCCGAAATTCCTGGAGTCAGGTGGTGCTAGAGGTCCTAGGATCATAAAATGTGTAGAAGTAGAAGGTCAAGGAGTAAACAACAGAGTTTGAAGGCTCACTATCCCTGGCAGAGGTCTCTGAGGTAATCTTCAGCGGCAAGGCGACGGGTGTGGATGACATTTTCCCATAATAGTATAATAGGGCTGCAACTGACAATTATTTGCATTATTGATAAATCCGAAAATGAATTTGATTTAATTTAATCCCCCTTTCAGGGGAGCAGTGTGGCAGCAGGCGTGACCTCTGTGAGAGGTCTCCTATCTAAACGAATCTCCCAGAGATTGTCAGGCTTGTGATAACAGCAGGTTTATTTCACATCTGCATCTATGACAAAGTCTAAAAGAGCACATGGTCATCCCTTGTGGACAAACAGCACATGTTCTGTCTGGAAAGACGGCATCATGTTAATATTAGCTTGCTATGCTGGCAATAACACACATGAAACAAATGGTTTCTTGAACCTATTATTTAATCTAAGATAAATGATATCCAACCATATCAATCTAGTGCCATTGTTATGTGTATTTTTCAGAGAGACTACCAAGTAGCAAATCTTCCATCGCTTTCATCCTCCATAATTCTTTCCTATTGCTACTCAGGTACAAATTTACAACAGCAGATGGCATAGTTGTCCCATTTCTCAACTTACACAGGTACATAGACCCAGCACAGTAGGGGTATTAAGAATTAGTCCAACCCGATTTGTCAAGTCTTGCCTATATCATTAATCCCCCTAAAGCTTTAGGTATCTATAGAAGAAAATAAAAACAACAGTATTATTGAACAAGATTTTACCGAGATATACCTTACCATCCCTTAGCTGTTGTTTAAGAATAATGGACAACTCTGTTTCATTAAAGGCACTGTTTCATCCTTTCATTGCTTTTCATTGTTGTAAATAGAACTTTGGGTCGAGTGTTGTCCACAGACAGAAGAGAGACGGCAGGCCGGCGAATGGACAGTCAATCGGAGAGAGAGATCCAAGCTACAAACGGCTGTTATTCTTTGATTTTGAAATAGCCATGTTGTTAATTATGAATGATACTCTGTTTTATGATCACATTCTCCCATCATTGTGACTATTTGACTGTGAGATTGGCAGTTGAATCAGGTTCCTTAATTGAATCGTAAAATCGTCGACTGTGGGGGGGTCACTCCTAGAACAGTACACTGGCAGCTTAAATACACCGCCATGATTAAAAGGGTGTGTGGGAAATGAGTTGCACTGAGATGTGATGTGATGTGCCCGATAGCGATGTGCTTCACTACGATGCGACAAGATGTTATATCTTTCTCATTTAGCGAATGGATAGTTAGCTATCTAATGTTAGCTTGCTAATTACACCACGTTTTCATGCTAACATTACACTGGTTACAGAAAATGAGCAGAACATTTTTGCATTTTTTTAAATTATGAAATTATGGTTGGACTTCATCTCAGACATGGAGGTGAAGTTATGCTTAAACAGTAAAATTATCCAATTAGGTACTGATTCAATTTCCACGTCTTTGGCTGAATGTTAAGACGTAGGTACACTCTGAGCGGTCCCGGTGACTCCTCCCCCAATGTGCCTCTGTGTCCCATCCACCCGAGAGGTCTCGAGTTCTTCTGTCGTACTGATAACACCTGCGTCTGCTGCAACTGTGTGGAGACAGGAGACCACCGAGGACACAACGTCATCCCTGCCAAGAGAGAGTGGCACAACAAGAAGGTATTGGTTTCAGTTAGGGAGCGTTGTCTAACTGGGGACAAAAATGATGTTTTTACAGTAATTGCATTATGGGAAGAGTGATTGACCGTTATTTTCAAGATTGTTCTAAAAGATTGTTTTATTGAGGTTGTATTAAAGATTAAAACCTTTGTGACTTTGGCAACATCTAATACAATCCAAAAACAGTTTACAGCCATTGTAAGTCTAATTTCTAGAAGTTTGTGCATCCCACTCACTTGTGTTAGGGTACGGTGCATCTGGCATAGAACATGTGACCGGCCTGGGACAAGACTGGTGATTAGTCATAGACAGTAATGCTATACTCCTGAGTAAAGGTGTGCTTGCTCTCTTCTCCAGTCCCAGGTAGGTATTGTAGAGCTGGAGCTGAAGAATCTCATCTGTGTGAGAGAGAGCAAAGTGGAGGAGATACACAACTCCTTACGAGAAATACAGGTGAGTTTTTAAGAAATAGCAGAATTGGCACCAGACTGTCCGTCCTGACAACTGGAGAGGAGCTCACTCATTCAGAGCAGATGTATTTAAAGAAACAGATCAAGTTTAAGTCCAGATTTATCATGGAGTGTGAGAGGTGTACAGGTGCTGCCTGATCAGACTACCATAATGCATTAAATATAGCAATGTGGGCCTACTTTATGTTTCTGTTAAAACCTTTTGAAAGTTTAAACCGAACAAACTATCACTTTTTACCAACTTGCATCTATTTAGGATATTTATCTACAGATATTTCTCATTTTCTCAAAGAGAGATGTTAAATGATTGAAATAAAGTGTCAGATTGGGACCTACAGATCTTTACCAGTATGCGACATGTGCTGTAATTAATATTGAGCAAACTGGCAGAGGTGGAGCTATACAATTCGGGATCCTAATAACAGTTCACTCACCCCCCCCCCCCCCCCCCCCCCCCCCCAAGCACTCTTTATCAGCGGTTTCCAGTCAATATCCTCCCCACAGTTTGCTCATGGGCTTAAAGAAGTAGCTGATTTGACAAACTCCCAATGAGTGTCTTTAAACAACTCACATCTATTGCTCTTCATCGTTTATAGGCTGCTGCTGAGAGAGAGACGGATGGAACTGTTTGCATGTTTTCCAAGCTGATTTCCAGTTTGAAGCGCTGCCAAGCTGAAGTCTTGGAGGTAAATAACACCGATATAGAGAGAATCTCTGGACAAAAACTCAACGTCTTTTCTGTTTTCACTGAAATAAAAGTAGGCAAGTCCTCTGCTTATTAACGGAGGAGGAGCATTATGCGGTATAAGCTGCTAAGCTCCATGGCATCTGTTACCCCCAGGTGGTAGAGATGACTCGGCGTGCGGTTGAGCACAGAGCTCAGGGCCTGCTGAGGGAGCTGGAGGAGGAGATCGCTGAGCTAAAGAAGAGGAGTACATCACTGAGCCAGCTGGCTCTGTCTGAAGACTACGTACTGTTTCTCAGGGTACCAAGATAACACAAAAAATGCATTAATAAATAAGCAGGTGTCAACTAGTTATGCATTCAATAATTAATCCACTAGTTCATTTTAGATGTAGTCATTAAATCCAGAAATGTCTTGGCAGCAGTGGTTATGGGAGTGTGAAGAATCTGAGGTACCTTTTCCACTGAAGGAACTTTTCCAAGAACCCGGGACCTTCTGTTGAAACTCCCATCCTGTTAATAAGCTCTTGGAGGTGGTCAGACTGCTACAATATGGTACCAACAACCATAACACCGTAACTAGCATAAACACCACTGGAATATTTTTACGTAGCATTATGTCTCAAGTGTAAGAGCCTCAACAACATTATGTAAGAATTGTAAAGTCAACATTGACTTTTGGTCTCACACGGGACACAAACAGGAGTCCCCTGGGTGAAAGTCCTGTGTTTTTTTGACGCATCCCTCCCATTTGCACTGAGGGGACTTCCCCTCTTGGTATACCCATCATTATCACATTTCATTTTCATGCCACGTAACTTTCAATAACGGTCACTTGATAAACTACATTACTTGCTCTGACCCAATGCAAAAACGTTGACGTTCAGCTTATCCGTGGTTTGCAGAAACATAACATTTCCTGGCAACTGGGCTGCTAAAATATTTCTGTTTCTATTATTTGTTCGTATTGTTTTCAGTTTTATAGACCTTCCACACTGAGGTGTGTTATCTTTCTGTAATAGGGTCTCTCGGAACCCTGTATCCTCTGCTAGGGTTTTTATTAGACCACTTTAAGTTTGCCAAGACAAAATATCCATGGTTCACTCTTACTCTCTGTTATCAGGTCTCAACAAATGCCTGTCTACTGGCTCCCAATAGTATGTGTTACACTGTTAACATGGAGGACCCAGTGAATGATCCACCAGCTGATAGAGGGATTTTGAGATAATGTTAACCGATGCGGATGTATTTCTATAAGCCTGTGGAAGCCACATGTGTTGTTGACATTTCTTCTACCTGCAGAGGTTCCCTGCCCTGTCCACCCCTCCACAAGCTAAGGACTGGTCCAGTGTCTCTGTAGGGTCTCAGCTGACCTCAGGGGTGATTCTCAGGACTGTCAATCAAATGATGGAGCGCTTTGGAGAAGAGATGCAGAAACTGCCCAAAGCCTGTAAGTCTTCATTCAGACCAAGAGTAGTCAAGTAAAGATGTTGAATTTAAGGGAAACATTTGATTAAAAAAGACCAAGACCATGGGTGGATTCTCCTTCATTTTTTACTGCGGAGCTTAGAACCAAATGGACCAACTGTACCGTAGCAGTACCTTCATGTTTCCCACTGTGGTAAAAGACAACAAATATCCTATATATTTTTGTTTTAATATGTCTCATTCGGATTCGGAGCTTAGATCATATTAATTTAAGGCTGAACTGGACAAGATCCAAACAGTAGTGCAAAATAAATGTTCTTTTCCCTAATCTACAGGCCAGCAATCCTTGTTGGACCAGTCCGTACCCAGGCCCAACCCAAGTAAGATTCTGATGAGCTAACAGCACAACATGTTATTTAGTTCAACCTTTTTCTGATGCTTTTAAATTCAACAAATCAATGAGAAAGTGTCAAAATAAATAATACAATGATTTATGAATATATTCTCTTTTCTTTGCAGAGATTAGGAGGGTACAAGAATATGCAGGTCAGGGTTAAAAAATCATTTCTGCTTTTATGTCATTTTCACTCATGGAGTGTTATTTTCATTGGTAGTTTAATCATCAACCATCTCTCTCAATCTGTCAGACGATATCACTTTAGACGCCAACACAGCCCACCAACGTCTCATCATCTCAGCAGATGGGAGGCAGGTGCACTGTGGAGATCGCAATCAGTCGGTGCCCGACAACCCGGAGCGCTTTGACCGGGTGGTGTGTGTGCTCGCCCGCCAGGGCTTCAACTCAGGACGGCATTACTGGGAGGTAGGTGGGACACAATGTGAAGCTGTGTACGTGTCCATGGCGGTCGTCCACAAAGGACCCATGTGCGGCACCTCACCAACCACAAAGCTTAATTTTGAGTCAGCAAGCTATTTTACATATATACATATTGCTAAAAAAAGCATTTGTTGTGTGCATACGGGCACATGCACACATTAATCCAAAAATGCTTAGTGAAAATAGTTGTGTTTGGAGAGTACTTGATCCAATTTATATAGTTTTTTGTGAACTATTCCTTTAATGAATTATTAACACATGTATGGAATGCGTAAATTAATTAGTTTTTACTTAAGACCTTAAGTATTAAATGTATTATCAATCGGAGGCGGTACTTTGAACTCCTGCTTTATACAACTTATTCCTGTTTACATCCAGCCTGGTAGGACACACCTATCCATTACCACAATGTTAGTCGGTCATCTGCACTGGTCCAGTCCAGCAGATGACGACAACGTGACGAAAATTAGTGGTCAACAGCAAGATGGCTAAACTGTAGGCTGTAAACATTTCACATTGCACTAACTATCACAGAAGCTTTATGCCTCAGTAAGCAGAATATGACACCATCAGTGTTTTTATGAAAACCAGGAATGAGTTAACTTTCAGCATTTACTTTTTATGGAGTGAAACTGAATAATTGAGCATGTACAGTGCTCCTTCACATTTGATTGGACTGCTAAAAGTGGGCGGGCTTAGCATGTAGCATGATAAGGAGCTACAGAGGACTGTGGCTCCACACACTCCTTTGTTATTGGTTGAAATTGGTTGGTACCAGCTTACATAAGCACACGTCATATTTTGTTTTACAGGAAGAAAAGCTGATTCAAATTTTGATTTAAAAATACGAAGAAATTGATTTTTTGTAATTTATTTTGCATATATTGTTAAATAGGTGCACAATATAACGGAGAATGTGATTTTAAAGGGTGAAAATTCCATCTCAACTTTAAGGAACCCATTTTCTATCATTTAGAAAACTGACGACCTCTTACTAAGTGACATATGTTATGGATATTTAATATTATATTCAATGCATGAAAATAAGAGTATAGAACAACTGTTAAAATGTACAAATAATGATGTATTTTGAGCTGATAACTAGGAAAACAGAAATGAGTGAACTTTCAGCATTTATATTGAATTCAAATGTTATAATTGAAATAAACAATAAACAATAAACAGAATTTTTCTGCTTAGTGAGAAAAGAGACAGTTAGATGAAGCAGCTGAGCTGATGGAGAGAGTGTTTGCTAACTGTCTTCTGTAGTTGGAGTCTAAGCTTAGTGCACCAAGCTGGACGACAACACAACTTGAGTGTAAACAGAAGCCCTCAGTGCCTGTAGTCCCACCTAGATAACTAACCATGCTGGTGAGTTCCTCTGCAAGTGTTACGATGACACAGCTAGGGTTCTCTGAGTTCTTCCCCATCGAGGCTTAAAAAATCATACCAAAACCTTTGGGAAATTTTCGAGCACATGCTCATCCTCATCTATTGGGTTGGTAAATCAGAAGGGAAGGCCAGGTTCACAATGTGAACGTGTTCTCATCTACTGTCGGACTGAGACTGAGGAAATGCCATCCTTCCATCTGATGTCCAGATTTAAAGTAATTATAAAAGCAAGGAATCTCTGTCTGTCTGTCTGTGTGTCTGTCTGTGTGTCTGTGTGCGTATCTGTCTGTCTATGTGTCTGTCTGTCTGTGTGTCTGTCTGTCTGTGTGTCTGTCTGTGTGTCTGTGTGTCTGTCCTTCGCATATCCACAACCGCTCATCTGATCCACTTCATACTTGATGGGTGTATTCTTGGGGACCCCGTGTAGTGCTTTGGCAAATCTAGTGCAATTTTGACACATGACACGTTTAATATGACAACACTTTGAATAAACAAGCACTCAGCGCTCTGTGTGGCAGTGGGGGCGGAGCTTCAGGGCTCTGCAGGATCTACAGCAATTAGACAGCAGCTCATTGACTGCAGTTCACTTTTGCTGTTGGATGCTTGATGTACTTGCTGAACTCCCTGAAATCAACAAGCACAAGCAGATAGCCTACACTAACAGAGCCACTCCAACTAAAGTAGTGTAAATGTTTGCCGTACTAACATTTACCGCCAGCCAAATACCTCCACTCATTAAATTCATGCTCTACTTTATAACCACGGTGGTTATGTCAAAGCAAGGGACTATTTGGACATTGAGTTTATTTCACCGGTGGTTCTGAGTAGCCTCGACTTTAACACAACTAGGTCATGGCAGGTGTATTGCCGAGGACACACGGAAGCACAGTGTTGAGTGTGAAGTTGTTTGTATGAGAAGTGCTCCAGAAAGCTGTCAGCAGTAACACCACAGGCCAAACATTCAGTTCTGACCATGCATGTTTTGAACGGGCACTGCACTAGTTTCATTGCAATTTAACATTGAACTCACACTGGTGGAAAGTCTGCACTCCACCAGTAAGCTGTACCTCACTGTCCTCTTCTAGGTGGAGGTGGGAGCAAAGACTGACTGGGACCTGGGAGTGGCAAGTCGGTCCGTCAATCGGAAGGGCAAAGTCAAGGTAAGCCCCGCCCATGGCTACTGGTTCCTCAGCCTGCGGGATCGTACTGAGTACGCCTTCCGAACAGAATCCTCAACCAACCTGACAGTCAGCCTCAGACCCTCCCGGATTGGAATCTATGTGGATTATGATAAAGGACTGGTGTCCTTCTACAACGTGGAGGCCAGATTGCTCATTTATACATTCACAGATCATTTTTCTGACACCATCCATGCGTTCTTCAGCCCCTGTACCAATAAATCAGGACGGAACGAGGCTCCACTGATCATTTGTCCTGTTGCAAAGACAGAATGAAATGAGCCAACAAGTTAAGGACATCTTCACTAATGAGCCTCCACATGCGTCTGTGTATGTTGGAAGAAGACTAAGATGCACAAGCATACCTCTGGAACAGATGTGATCACATCTGCATTCATTCCTTCATTGCAATAGAGCAGTGGTTCCCAACCTTTTTTCTGTAAAGTCCCAGTGAAACAGAATATTTGAGCTATGTACAGTTACAAGAGGCATTGAAATAGAATCTTTCACATGTGATTGGACTGCTACAAAGTGGGCAGGCTTAGCATGTAGCATGATAAGGAGCTACAGAGGACTGTGGCTCCACACACACCTCCTTCGTCACTAAAGTTGCAGATTGATTGATGGATGTCATGATGTTATTGGTTGAAATTGGTTGGTACCAGCTTACATAATCACACGACATATTTTGTTTTTGGAAGAAAAGCTGATTCAAATTTTGATTTAAAAATATGAAGAAATTGATTTTTTTGCATATATTTTTAAATAGGTGCACAATATGATGGGGAACGTGATCTAAAAGGGTGAAAATTTCATTTCTACTTTCAGGGACCCCTTTTCTTTCATTGATTAAACTAACCCCTGACTAAGTGACATTTTTTATTGATATTTAATATGATATTTAATACAATAAGAGTATAGCACAGTATACTTTACAATTAAGGATGAATTTTGAGCACATCATTTCCTGTGAATGTTGCATCAAAGATGAGTTTTCATTTGTATTAGCTGAAGTCTGCAGATAGGCAATATTTCTGTTCCAACCTTCAGATTCTTCAGGTTTGGCCCTATTTAGTCCGGAGAAAGAATTCAGACACACTGGAGTAGAGACTCTCTGCTGAAACCCAGGGCAACAGGAAAATGCTTTCAGGCTGAGTGAAAGCATGCGCTGTGAGGCTCCAAATCTTATGACACACTAGAAATCAAAAACATTTGATGAAGGTTCAAAGCTACTAGTCGCATGTTCACAGCATATCATACATGGCCACAGATAGCATGTTTACACCATGGATGTTTTTTGAAAACAGAATAGAATTAAAGATGGAACCCATTTATCCAAATTAACACGTACGCCAAAAATGTTTTCAGGCTTCCTCTGGCGTCCATGTTTTTGGGCCCATAGAGCACAGGTACTAGAATCCCTCTACGGCCCAGCTGGAAGTTACATTGCACATGAATTTGATGCATTAATTTCATCTAAATAAGTTGCTGAGTAATATTATGCAAGTGAAACACTTTCGGTGGTAAGCTAAATATATAGTTTATAAACCAGACAAGAATCAAATCCGTCCAAATACGATTCCCTCATTGTAAGCAATTATGAGAAAAGGGATGTTAAAGCTAAGAGTTAATCAGGTTTCCTGTGCTAACATTGGGGCAGTGATGTTGGTTGTACCACTGCTCTGGTCTAACATGGATATTACACAGTAAACTATGCATCATGACTTTATACTTTTTATAATATTTCTGTCCAAGTTGGTATTCGATTAAAAAACATTTAAGGCAGTGAATGTGTATCTATTTTTACATATCTGACGTCAGAAAAATTGTTGAGACCACAAGAAGCATCAGAAGATATAAGAGGCACCTATGGCAGATACATTTACTAAATGAAACAGAAAAGGGCATGAGCTTGTACAGTACACATGTGAGAGGATACTTTATTGACATCAAGTGAACAAGCGGTATTGTCTTGATGGGCACAAGTGCAAAATGACACAAACATATGGTGACAGGTCACAGTCAGAGCACCACATACAGCAGCACTTCCACCATCAACAATGTCTAAACAAACAGGAAATGTCTTCGCACTTGTCATGTTTGGTCGTTAATGTGTCTTTAGATCAGAAGCATTGGAGCTCCATTCTAACACTTCCAGTAAACATTCATGTTGAGTAACAGGCCACTGGTGTTACTATGAAGCTACTAGCCTTAGCTAAGCTTTGCTAAACGGCCACTTGGGTTGAACAATTTGAGGGAAAAAATATTGTGATTTAAATTGCAATTATTGTCAATAAAAACTTCAACTTCTCGGGCCAAATAAACTAGTGACATAAACAAAAACTGATCTTACCTTTAGTAATTATGATGTAGTAGTACACTGCTAATGTGGTACTGGTATAATTGACTTATTTTTTTAATATAATCGTCAATGTTCAAAGGTGATGTCATATTCATTGATAACTTAGTTATCTACCTTAGTCCAAGAGCAATCAGACCAAGGACCCTAATGATACTATTGACAGCTCTGTTCTCTCTCTGCTTGAGCTAACGTCGCTGTTAGATTTGTAGACTGACGGGTCAAACTACTAAACAGACATAAATCCTGGAGGTTTAGACTCAGAGCTTTAATGGTGAACAGCTTTTAAGTACATCATAGTTTGGAGCTGAGCAGCCTCTGACTAGTACAATCAGCCGCTAATGGGCTAGCTGCTAACTGCTCATCTGAAAACTATGTGATGCAATTAGCTACATTTTGTGGGGACAGTTGTCATTGTAGGTTGCTAAGGTATATTTAGTAGGTTCCATATTTATTAGGTCATGTCTTCTAGTCTAAATAAATGTCACTACTTGTGATTAAAAAATACACTCTTTCCAGTTAAAACAGGAAATGACTCAACATGTTTGCACCTCCAGTTCCCTCGTCCTCCTTTAGCTTAGTGGTGGAGACGTGAAGTCATGTGACCGTGTTGTAGTTCCTTTATAGCCTAACGTTAGCTTTTTATGTCTGCTGATTGTATTCATGCTTCAAAAATCATAAAAGTGGTGCACATTTATGAAAATTATCCTGCTGAACAAAACCTGTAAGTATCGTAAACACTTTTTCAGAACTTCGTTATTTGGTCGGGGCAGTTGAATTGGTTACACTTTGTGACATACAGTATTAATCATGCAAATAAAGGGGAAAACTGCAATCTTGTTTACTGTTACAGCATTAATAGTATATTTAAAACACCTCAAACATGATATATTATTGTAATATTTGATGTAAGCTGTCATAATACACATGAAGAAGGCTATGCTGATGTCAACAGAAAAGATGCTTAAGGCAAATAAATGTTTTTTGACTGAACAGAAAATGTAAAGTACTCTTAGGTATAAAATATAATATAATAATAAAATATACCAGTAATGGCATTTCCTGCCCAGAGATAAACTGTTTGTCTTTTCTGTTCTACAACACAATCAGTCAAGTCTTTGGATAATACTTTCTGCTTATTAAGCTGACTCATTCTACTAGTATCGTGCTGTTTAACGTTATACTATACATATTATATTTTACATGTTACATTTCCAGCCACAGTTAAAATACATACAACAGACAGTGTAGTTCTATGGAAATCTTTTCATCTATGGCTACTTAGAAGTACAGGAATAACATACCATCATGTCACCTGATAGCACAGGGTGGACTGGTTATCAAGGAAGCTGCTGAACAGTCAAGTGCCTCTTATTGCAAACAGTGCCATGTTGCCACAGTGCACTTGAACAAGTGTCGTCACCAAAGTCGAATCAATTCTCCTTCTACAATGACATTAGTATTTGTGCAATAATGAGGTGCAGTAAGAGGTGGACGCCATGGGAAACAGAGTGTCATCCTGCACAAACCCTGCTAACTACATCTTGTAGATTTGAGCTAACTCTATATTGAGATTTGACTTATTATGCATTTCATGCTTACTGGCTGCAGGTAGTCAACATAAGAGAATACCTCAGACATGTGAGTGACTCCAGGCCAGCTGGCTCTTTGAAGCCTTCAAGTCTCTAACAGAGAAATGACTGCCTTTGATCAGCAACACTCGTGAAACCACCACTGACATTTTGATGAACGGGGACATTATGAGAACATCTGAGTTTTTCTTGGTTGGGCTGCTTTTCTTTTCAGTTACTTTACAGTCTATTGCCGTATGTGTGGCTCTGATCATTACTTTTACTTTTCCAAGCTGTGGCTTGATGTGTGTGTGTGTGTGTGTGTGTGTGTGTGTGTGTGTGTGTGTGTGTGCGCTGGCTCCTGTTGAGTGCTGGTCGCTGTACCTCCACCAACAGAGGCTCCTGGCTATCTGAACTGATAAAGGCCCATCCAGAGCTGCAGACTGGTATTCAACCTGTTTTTGTGGAAGAGCCTCATCATCAAGCACATATTTTATGTGACACTGTTTTTGACAGGTTCTCATTTTCTGACAAATATTTAGAAATGCCACAATAGCAAAACATAGCATCACAGACCCATTATTTCTTATAAAGTCCAATGAAGTGGTTTCAAATTTGGTGTTGGGCCCTGACCCAGACTCTGAATAACGCTGTGGTAGACACATGTACATTATGTGTGTGTATCATTTTTATCATATCCTCTCACGGTCGCTGCTGTCCTTTCTGTGGGTGTGTTTCTGAGCATCCAGACACCTCACCCCCTCCAGCAGCATGGGAGTCCCGTGATGTGGGTCTGTACAGAGGGAGAGAAAGGGATGAGGGCAATGGGAGAGTTTGTGTTCACTCCTGGTATTACAGTCTTTGTCCGTTTCTTTCTGTATCAGGACACTACTGGGTGCATTATGGAGCTTAGAGCATGGCCACTTACCAGAGAAAACATTTCAATCTTAGTTTTTTTGGGATGTCAGGTCTCACTTAACTTACTGATGTCTCTGTTCCATTAGTGTCCTAGTAAACCATGACAGTGTGACAGTGAGCCAGCATGCACAACACCAGGACCCTGAAACTGAAGCAGCTAAACTGAATTCAGTCATCATTCATTTTATTTTTGACACCTGTGCTTTTCGTACTGTAACATGTCAAAATGTCCTCTGTGAAACGGACCTATCACTCTGCTCCCTCCAGCACATCAACCTCCTCCTTATGTGTTGGACTCAGTGTTCGTATATGTGTGTATTAGTTCCTAAATCCTCAACAGAAACTTCTCAGAAAATCAAACTCAGTGTGTGTGTGTGCGTGTGTGTGTGTGTGCGTGTGTGTGCGCGTGCTAGCACATACCGATGACCTTGGCCTGGAATCTGACCTTCAGACTGCTGCCTTTTCTCCCTCTGGTTACCAGAGTGATCTCCTCCTGCAGCACCCCCTCCTGGTGAGTCCTGTACTCACACGTTACCTTTACTCCTCCTTTAATAAGAGAGGGAGAGGATTCATCACCATATACATTTACTTACACTGTTCAGTTGCGTCCCATCAAGGAAAGACATAAGGGTAGGATGAGAGACGCACGTTGTATTTTCTACTGGTGCTTCAGATGCACTTTGAAACCGTATTTATCTGTGCAGGATATTGCTCCCTCAGCTCTGCATCAAAACAGTTTCTTCTGAACTGCATGGTACATATTTGATGCACAGACTTCATTGAGTCTCTTAGGCATCTTCAGATATAATTAAATATATATATATATATATATATATATATATATATATTCTACATTCGACACATATTGAACAACTACAGTCTCTTGATGTGTTGACAGTGTGCCAGTGGCTCAGACTCATTGGATATGTTTTTGCTGATGAAAGAAGTCCATATGAAGACAGCCAGATTTAAGGCCTTTACACAGTGCAGGCCTGACGAATAAACCACACAAATAACACAAAATACTTGGCTGCAAAAAAGTCTGCCTTGAAAGGAGTACTAAAGTGTGCCGGACTACAGAGTCTGCCTGTTGTTGTACACTATGGTGTGTTTTGAATACGTCCATTTCACAAAACGTGATTGGTTGATGCCTTTACTTGCAGTGCGAAAGCTCCCAAAAAAATTCCAAAGCTTTTTTCAGTGCGTATATAGAGTATACTACATATATATATAAAGCATGATGATGGTAACAATAGTTTGAAAATTGATATTGACGTGGGAAATAATGGCACAAAAAACCACACTCAGTGTGTGAAGACTATTCACACACTTACTAGTGGAGCAGTCGGGCTCGGCAAGGGTGCAGGATTTCAGCTGTCTATAGCACCTCCTGAGGATGCTTGCTGGAGGGAGCAGTAGGTACCTTACAGTGTCCTATAAACCCACAATGCATCTGGACCACACCCTCAGCTGAATAGTAAATGGACTGTACTTGTATAGCGCCGACGACTCAAAGAGCTTTGAGAGAATTGTAGTTCACCCATTCACACTCATTCATACACTGATGACCGATGACAGGAGCTACCATGCCACCTGCCTACAGCTACGTGAGCAAACCTCATATTTTTCCAAGATTAAGGCCGTCATTATTCACGTGGTCATGTATTCTTTCTTGTTATAATTCAAATTTGTAGAATATGTTTGAAGACAGTTGTTTCCCACAATGCACTGTAATATCTAGTGAATATTGATACTCGTACCGATACTGTGTAGTGAAATACCAATGAGGGAAAAGTAGTTAATTCAAGAGTCTACAGCCATGTGAGCAGCTCTGTACATGGACACAGCGGTGCTTTGAGCTAAATGCTACTGTAAGCATGCCAACATGCTCACAATAAGAAATCAGCTTGTCAACATTCTCTGGTCTCTATGTACAAATATTTTATATGATCTCAGTTATCTCAAACCTAGTTTGCCCCATCTGTATCGGCTGACATACAGCGATACAGCTGTATCTGCAATAAGCTAAGCTAGATCAGCCTCAGCAGTTTATCTATCACCAAAGTCAGCAGGCTTCATCCTCCTCTTCCTCCTCCTCTGTATACTCTACCCATCTGATAGTTGTTGAGATATTTCAGTTTGGACAAAAGTGTTGGACTCACTGGCCGACACTGCCACAAAGGGACTACAAAGATCCTGGGTAAAAGAGAGGCATGTGTCAGAGCATCTTTGCTAAACTGACAGCAGTGCTGCACTTTCACACTAAGCCACCAGCTCCACCCAGGCTCCATATTTTTGCTTAGCTCTGCATTTTCTGTCTCCAGTAACTGATAAGCTGGTTGTGAGCCATCCGAAATCATTGGCCTAATTAGAATACAGGCAACCATTGATCACGTCAGTAATCTAACTGTAAACCTGCATGTGTTTCTAAAGAGAAAGGCGAGTCTGGAACCCCAGAGGTCAGCTCTAACTCCCCTATGTGTTTGTGGATCTGAGTGTGTTGTAATTAGAACCGCTACTAATGCACAGGCTCTTGGTTACTGCCTGATGACGACAGAGTTTTAACGTCTGAATAATCCTGAAGAGAGGCAGGAAGATAGACAGCACAATGAGCCAATCAGCACGCTGCACACAGCCAGTCTGGCAAGCCATCATGACCAAAGGCAGAAAACCAAACTGGTGTAGACTTCCACACCACAACCAACCATTCACTCATCCATTCATGCATGGTCTCGAAGATCACAACCGTCACACATTGAGACTCTCTGATCTTCACAGATTCTGTCTCCTTAAGAAAGGCGGTACACTGTTCTGTATGCCTGGACTTACCCTCCACTGTGGAGTTAATACGATGGACCCGCAGGTTGGGGAACCTCCGAGTTGGAGAGGAGGAAGGGAGACAAGAGAGCTCTTTGCCCAGAGTGGGGACATCTGGGACGGTGAAGACAACCTCATAGCAGTGGTGGCACTTCAGGAAACCAGCCTGGAGAGAGAAACGACGGAGTAGAGTAAAGAGTAAAATAGAATGTTTAAAGGGCTAACATGCTGGAAACAGCTGTCTGCTGTGGATGAAAACAACACTCTGAGAGCGCCGACAGTGACCCAACAGTGAAGTTGCAGCCGGAAAGCTACACAATGAGCTGAAGCTACAAAAGCTGTGTAAAGCGGCCCCTCTCACACTGTCACATTACTTTGACGTGCCTTGAAACAGCCCCTCTGGTTCCATGTTCTCACACCCTCACACATGGACACACCTTGACCAAGTAGCTGCCATCCTTCTCTAGGATAGCAACGAGAGTGCAGAGGTTTGACTCGTCGTCTCTCCGTGTTGGAGAGCCGGGGGGCTCGTTGTCGTCAGGGAAACGCACCCCACAGGCCTTGGAGGTGGAGCCTGGTGATGGGGTGGAAATACAGGGTTTAAATCGTCTAGCAACCAAGGCAGGAAGAATTATGATGATGTGATTAAGAATAATGGCTAAATACGAGGACCTATCTGCAAGAAAGCAAAAACAGCATTGTGTATTTAAAAAAAACTGAAGATGCAAACAGAGATGAAGGAGAGTAGATTTGAGTCAACAGAAACATCTCAATAAATGAATCTTTGAATTATCTCCCCCACTCACATTATAAGTGATCTGAGAAAGTGTTGCTCTGTAGTATGCTACTATAAGGAGCTGCACAGTAAACTGTTGCCCCGTGTTGTAAGTCTAATAAAGGGAGGCTAGAGGGTGTGTTACATCATCAAACACACAGATGCAATGCTTTGAGGACAAAGTGATCAACCTGTGACTTCTGACTCTGTTGTGGTGGTGCAGTCTGGTCGTACTCTGGACAACAATCTACACAAAGTCTAAAGTAATGACAAAGTGAAACAGAAATGAAGGAAGGGAGCCATCATTCTACAGCTCCGCTGCTTATTTCTGTGTATTATCACTGACATAACCTTTTTCCACTGTTTCCTGTGGATCCCTGCATACGATGTCTCAAGTACACCAGCTAGGCTTCCAGATGTCAAATAACTGTATGAAGGCCAAACTACAGCCAGTCAACTGTAGCATTCACACACACACACACACACACACACACACACACACACACACACACACAGTGTCAAACCTACCTTTTCTTCCTGTTGCCATGGTAATGCGGTTAGGAATTGGGAAGTGTCAGACAATGCCTGAGAGATGTCATCACTGACCTCCAGAGTATGAGGACAGACAAAGACAAGAGAGGACAACAGAGAGAGAGACGGTGCCATGCCTGTGAGGTCTGACAGTTCACAGTAAAAACTCATGTTTACAATGTTTACTGAGGTAATAAATCCAGAGAGAAGTAGAGTCATTTTCTCATAGACTTCTATACAACCAGAGGAGTCGCCCCCTGATGGACAGTAGAGAGAATGCAGCTTTAGGACAAGAAGCATCGGCTTCATTTTACAGAATCGGAGGTCAGGAAAGTGAAAGAGCATCACTTGCTCATTGCCGCACTGAAGGTGTCCTAAAGCAAGTCCTAACTGCTCATTGGTCAACAGATCAGACTATGGTTGTTTTTGACAAGTTTTTTAAATCAAAAATCAAATGATGTCTTTATGAGGTGAAATCTTTAAAGTTGCAATGCAGTAGTGCAGCTTTAAGCTTCTAGTCCGTGGGTGACTAAGATAGTGAGGAACTGTAATAAGAAAGACAGACATCTTATTTTGTGAATAGCATATGGGATGAAATGCCATTTAGATCCTGCAATAATGCATTCTTTATCAAGTTTAAATTGTTTTCATATAATGGTACTTCTCGCTCCAAAAGGTATTTGTGAACATTTTATGTCAATACAAATCACTAACAGCTTTTCTTAGCCAGAACAAGTCTCTTTGTAATCAGATGTTTCTCTCTCATCATGTGGCTTTAAAGTATACAGTGTCTCTATACATAGTACCGACTGCAGCTACTGAGAAGAAAACAAACTAATATGTTCTCCTTACATTTGTGATTGTTTTAACCATTATGAAAAGAAATGACGTGAACACTCCTGATTCACTTGGACCAAAGTAAGGGGCCTGGGCCTCAAACATAGTCCCTTCACAGTCTACAGTGAAGCGAGGAGGACGTCTCCTTCATGGCTACACCTCTGCTCACAACGCACGAGCATCCCTCCTTCTCAACTGTACGTGACGTGTTTGAGCACATCGTACTTAAGGCGTGGTCGCATAATGTTAGAATGAGCCATACTGCACGCACTGGCAACAATATGAAAGTGTCTCGACCGGTCAAAGCACAGACACACGAGCATCTCTCAAAGGCGCAGTGAAATGAGATCAATCATATGACCAATACGTACCGCTGAGTTCGATGTGCCGGACGTTGGAGGAGCCTCTCTACATGAATACATTCATCTATTCATAAAACCATGGGGACACGCTGTCTGTCCCCTCACAGCACCGACATCTGTCCCGCTGAAGCGCTGCCACAATGAAGGCTACTGCGTTGACCAGACAGAGAGAGGCTCACACGTCTTTCATTTGCGCGGGCGTGTGCTTTCTCGGCGGACACGCGCATGGCATCCGTGTCTAGAGTGAAATCCTTTTATTTGTACCACAGCTTTTGACCAACATTATATATTTGACCTCTGTTCAAACATTCATTGCAGGAGTTAAGTGTGACAAATAAATCAATGAGGTAGGTAAATTATGCTTAGTGTTTAAAAAGAATAAGCCAAACATCTCTTTATTGTTCAATTGTCATTATTTATTGCCTCATGATCAACACATGCTCACTCTTCCATGTAGGAATGTTTGGTTCTAAAATTACAGAGAAATAACAAGTAAATACATGATGTACAAAACTAGGTTCCAAATTAACCATCAACATCAAGTATCAGGTAAAATGAACAGCATTAAATACATCTGCATTAATAACCTAGATAATTAACAAAGACACAGAACTAAATCTGTGGTTTAAATACACGTATACTGCCATCTACTGGTAGAAAGGGTGAACACGTTTACGCTGCGTCTCCTTATACAGTCTGCATTATAATAAAACATAAAACGAATAAACATGGTATTTCTGTATCTTCGATTAAACAATAAAGCAATCTATTAAAACGTACATAAACCACAATCAGCATATGTTCAGTTTTCATGAAATCAGAATTATCATCAATTTCCTAGCTCCCACTGAGCCGCAGAGATGGTTTGTGATCTTCCAACGCGTCAGGCTATAGTTGATGGGGTTCATTGAAAGACAGATTCATACCAGGACAGTATAGCGTCACATGAATGCAATAATAGGAGTAAAAAATATAGAATATAAATGTCTCCCTTTTGTTTTCAGTTCTTATCTCTAAGGAGAACACAGGGAAGGTGATTTCCAGAGCAACTTTAAAACACACAAATATGTATGTGTGTGTGTAAAGAACTTTTTCATATCTGTGTCAAAGTTTAGATGAAGACTTGTGACCTTTGAACTCTTGGTAGAACAGTTAATCATGACTTTGAAAAAGGTCTGGTCTTAATATCACATGTTTATTACCACTTTAGCATATGAACACTTACAGCTTTACATAACTTGTGAAAAGAATGCTTTGTCTTACTCCAGTTTTGATATGATATTTTAAATGTTAATGATATGCATACATTTAATATTATGAAAAGTTAACTTATACACTGAATACCTCCTAAGACCACATTTAAAAAAATCATATTGAGTTAGCCTGACTACCAATAGACTCTAGCTCTACTTAGATACATAACATTAGCTTCATTATCATTCATTCTGATAATTAAAAAAGGGAAATGTAGATTATAGTTCTGTGGATGAAATAATTTTTTGTTTCATATATTCCTGTATGTGTTAACTTCTGGAGGGTTACTCTGTAGTTTAACTGCTTGAGAAATCAAGATGTGAGCCAGCTCCAAGCTTTTTTGATTCCGTCAACTACGACATCAACAAATAAATTACTCTCCTCAGCTTTCTTTCTGGCCTCTTTTTCATGCTTTTCCTGCAACTTTTCTCTTTCTTCTCTCAGTTTTCTGTCACGCTCTTCCTTCATTTTATTCTTAACTTCTTCTATCTCCTTTTCTTTCTCCTCTCTATCTCTCTTTCTCTCTGCTTCTCTTTCTGCTTCTCTCTCTTTCCTCTCCCTCTCTCTCTCCACATTCATCTGCTGCCTCTCCCTCTTCATTTCCTCCTCTCTCTCTTTCTTCTCCCTCTCTCTCTCAGCCTGGAGTCGGTCATTCATTTTCTTGATCTCTTTTTCATAATTTTCCTGTATTTTCCTCTCCAGTTTCTCTTGCTCTTTGTGTATTTGCTCTTCTTTCTCTTTCAGGATGCGTTGTTGCTCCTCTTCGACTGCCCTCTCTGCCTGTTGGAACATCTCGTTGGTGTAGTGGCTTCCTCCGTTCTTCCGGGCTACCTTTCTGATCTTCTGGAGCAGCTCAGTGACCTGAGAGTGATCCTTCAGCTTATTATTGAAGACATGGTACTGGCCATTACATCTGTCCACAAGTTCCTGCAGGTCTGAGCTACCCTCCAAGAAGTCCTCAATAGATGAGTCTTCAAGGTTGTCACCATAAGTAAAGAGCACCATGCTGTATCTATCTGCAGTCTGGCCAAAGATTTCTTGAATTCTCTGCACTGTCTGCTTTTCCTCTCCAGTGTATCTGCCCACCCCGATGACCACCAGGAACACATGGGGTCCAGGAGCAGCATAAGAGATGCACAGGCGGAGATCTTTAGATGTTTTCTCCTCGTCAAACCTGGTGTCAAAGAGGCCCGGGGTGTCGATAACAGCAACCTGTTGTCCATCCACCACAGCTTCGCCCTTGGAACAGTCTACAGTCATAGACGTGGCACTGCATTTTGATTTAAAGCACTTTTGTCCCAGAATGGTGTTTCCAGTGGCACTCTTCCCAATTCCAGTCTTCCCCACCATCACTATCCTCAGCACCTCATCATTTTTTCTGCTGCTACCTGTGTAGAAGAATGAGTGACATTGAATAAGAATCTACATCAGGTTGTACACACGTTGTACTCAATGCAACTTGTACAGATATAGGAGAACAGAAACATCCATTCCGCTGCTTTGACAGAGTCAATAAAGGAGTTTGTTGGAGGTTCCAATTTACAACATTTGTTGCAGACTTTCATTTGAGAAAAATAAATGCTCTCATCTTGCTTTCTCTCCATCATCTCACATGGCTTCCATATACTGTTCAGTTCACCACTTACAGGAAAAGGCAGCAGGTCCTTTAAACTACCCCCTCTGTCAGCTGAAAGTGGAACTGCAAGGTGGAAACATGTCCACCTATCCAGACTGACACATTTCTTTGAGGGTGTCTCAGATTTAAAAAATAAAAAATATTCTTGATAAAATAAAAAACTGTTAATAACAATACAATAACAAAAACAGAACACATTTTTGACTCAGATTCTTAAGAACAAAAACTGCATTCATTATCTATGGATAATTACTTTTTTTAAAATTCTCTAGTGATGAAAAACTCATGATTTTAAGGTAAAAGAAGTATTCCAGAATGTATATAAGGTACTAAAGTCAGAAAAACTAAATGTATTTACAGTTATATCCAGTAAGTCTAATACAGTATTAGGTCATAGGAGGTATAGGAACATTTCATAAAATTAGATTCAGCAGTGAGCACTGCTATCAACATACAATAATTTACTTTAAAACATAGATACAGTTTCCGACTTACCTATGATTCTGGCCATGTTTGTGTTAAAGAGTGGAGTAGATGCAGCTGAAGTTCAGACAGTTCAGAGAGTGTCTCCTGCAGCTCTGTTAGAACAACCTTATATGTACTAAACCACACCCACAAATAGAAAGGGAAACTAAAGCTTTTTATTGAGGTTTCGGTTATGGAATGATTTTCAATAGATAAGAATATATGCTAAATACAATATAGTCTTTAATCATTTTGGATAAGTTTACGTAGTCTTGTCTTAACAAAGAAAGCAAGAGACAGTTATTCTAGATGAATTAATCAAGATATCATTACTATTAGCTTAAACAATCTCACAAGCTTTGTCACATAACACATTCAGTTATTACCAGAGCTTTAGTGTAGTATACATTTTAAAGAGTACTTTCAAATGTTTTAAACCTTGGTCCCTTTGCAAAGCATCCAGGAATATTGAGAAAAAAGACAATAATTTAACTATGCATACAGTCATGATAATGACTTAGTATATCCCAGATAAATATGGAATTTGTGTGGAGAAAAGTGTTTCTCAGTGACCACATGCTGGCTTATTTGTCACAGCGTTTCCTATAACTTAACTTTCCTTTGCAAGTTCCTGCTGTTATTTGACTTGTATTTTCTGTTTGAATTCAGCCTTTCAAAAGAAGGTTTATTCAGTCTGACAGTTTGTCCTGTTTATCTGGCTTCTGTATCAGGCCCTGCTGGACTTTCAGGAAACTCCCTGCATTACACCTTAAGGATTGGTCTCCCCTTCCTGAGCATTTACAATAAATGGCAGCACTTCTTTAAAGCAGCACAAAGCTCCCCCTCCCCTTCAGTATTTACATGAAAAGGAAGCAGTTCTCTTAAATTCCACAGGATATTTTGGACATTAACTTGTTCATCGACCTATGTAATACATTATACAACGATTAACAAGAATGACATGATTCATAGGGTAGGGCTGCAAGACATTGTGAGGCAAGTTTATTTTAATATGACATATTATACATAAAGACAATTCAAAGTACCTTTCAAAATGTATTAACCACATTAACCAGAAAGTGCATCAATAGAAATGAATAGAAATTACTGTTCAAATTTGACAGTAGATCTTTAGGTTCTTTACTGCTTGAGTGCTTAAGGTTTAGTCGATTCAACATATTCACACGGAGGACATGTTGCTCTGACATCGTGCTCAGGGGAGGGAACCGCCCTGAAACTGTCAAACTGCTGTATGACGAAGTGGAGCAAACATTTGTAGCATCCGGGGTGTCGATAACAGCAACCTGTTGTCCATCCACCACAGCTTCGCCCTTGGAACAGTCTACAGTCATAGATGTTCTACTGAACTTTGATTTAAAGCACTTTTGTCCCAGAATGGTATTTCCAATGGCACCAATTCCAGTCTTCCCCATCGGCACTATCCTCAGCTCCTCATCATTTAGTTCTGTGTGGAAGAATAAACAAATGAATGAATTATAATTTTCATACCACCCGTTTTAACTGTGTAATTAATGCTCTAGATACTCATAAGCTTTTGTAAAGTACATCATCATCAGTCAAGCTTTTACCGTCTTTAGCCGGACCAGAACTCTAGTATTCGGTCCATATTTCAACATGAGACCATTATGGAGCTTTTTTCATTTCTTTCATTTAAAGCTTACAGATATTAAAGATGCTCTCATCAGCTTTTTAGGGCTGGTACTTTTACTTAGAGCCTCATTTAGATAAACAGACCTTGAAAAAGCACATTGCACTTCAGCCTCAAATATATCCTGTAGACACATGTACCTATTTGTCATTTCAAAAGGGATTCCGTTTTCCCAGCAGTAAGTGACTGCATATAGATATGCACAGAAGGTCATACCCTCAAAGACTGGCTCCTCTCATAGAAATAATATTTGTCCCAAACTGGCTCAGGAGTGTTTAAATTAGCGATATCGACAACGCAAGCTGGATGTGTGGTATAAGTGCTCTGGAGGTGTTGAAGGTGCAAAACCAAAAGACAAGCATATATAAAACAACTTCCTTTGAATCCCAGCCTCTTAAATATATATAAATATATCAATATCAATATATATATATACTGTATATATATATATATATACTGTATATATATATATATATATATATATATATATATATATACATATATGTGTGTATTTATATATACTGTATGTACAGTATCTACAGTATGTACACATCATATGGAATCTGCGTGATTATGTAACCTGATGCTCAGTCCTGAAGCTCCTGTTTGAGGTGTTCCTGGACCACTGTGACCTGAGAGTCCCATTAGAGTTTATCTAAAAGTTATGACTTTGCTGCTTTGTTGATGTATACCCAATTTATATTTCCTTTTCATTGACTATGAATAAAGAGCTTTCTTATATGTTTTGGTCATTTTTAAATGTATAAAGGCTCCTGTGGTGTTAGAGAAATATAACATGTTCCTTCAAAAAGGCTTTATGTAATTACACAGTTAAAACAGGTGATATGAAAAACATAATTGATTGTGTGTAGGAGGGTAAAAAAAAACTGATCCTTCCATAGAAATGAGCTGGGATACATCTCAGCAAAAATAAATGTATTAATTAAAAGTGTGCAAAGCATCCTGCTTTGTGATAACATGGGCCACACCGCCCACCTCTACCCAACGGCTCGCCCCCTCATCTGCTCGCATTGCCGTGTGAGACTCATGTCTTGAAGTCTTGTAACATGTGCACATCTGCATAGTATGTCGTTCTTTACTTTAAACATTTTTGAAATTGTTATCCCCATTTTTACCAAATGTATTGGTAATCTGATTACGTTTTTTTCCTGTTACTGTAACAGAATACAGCTAGCTTTTTTGTATCCTATCATGTAATGCCGTTCCATATTATTCGGTACTCCCCAAGCCCAGCAACAACTGACAAGTCCAAACTTTAAGTGAAAAGATCTAAATTACTCTGTGAAACATGGACTAAGTACAGTCGCTGCTGACACGCAAGTTACTGAGCAGTATTTTCAACTTTGTCAGTAAGTTACTTTGTAAGATCAGTAATTCCACTTTCAGTTATGTTGACATACATGAATGATGAGATGAGAAGCAGGATAACACATGGGGACAGTAGTCACTTTACTATACTTTGATTACATTTGTATGTTTGTTTCTTTTCCACAAAGAATTACTTGACTAATATTTCACATCTCCTATTGTTCCATATTGTACCTTCCACCCCCAAAAACCTGATAGTTACTGTAAGTGTTAACATGTCATCTACTCTGCTACATGCTAACACGTTACCTCTGTGTCCCTAAACAACAATGTTTTCTTCTTCATGGGCTCTGTAGGCCCTTTCTCACAAATCTGTCCTTGGAACATTCAAGCATGTTGTAGTTGACCCAAACATAAGTGTAAGTACCTGAAAATGACAGTAGTAGTATCATGGTAGTAATTGTAGGCCATGTTTCGGTTACAGAGTGCAGGCGGTTCAGTTCAGAGTCTGTCTGCTGCTTATCTTTGGCATGGCTCCATTCAGCAAACCACACCTACTAAATATTTATACAGTGGACATCACAGTGAGACTGAAACTTTAGTTAAAGCGGGGGGGGGGGGCTAAATGGGAATGTACGGATGTTGAGATTGGTGGGACAGACTTTGGAACAGGGTCTTTGGACAATATTAGAGACACAGTAAAAACGATATAAATGATGAATATATTTTTCCATGAGCAGAATTACATTTTAATAACCAGAACGACTTCTTTAACATGTCATATAATCTTGCAACTAAAAATAGAAATATTGCAACACCACTGTACTGAGATGTTTAAGGAATCCGCTATCAAAACAGCAATTCATTTTTTGTTTGTTGCTAAATATCTTGTTTTCTATGTTGGATTTGTAAACCTTGAGACAAATTTCAAATTGTTATGTGTACAGCTGTCATGTTGTGTACTGACTTAAAAACTCCCAAGGTCACACTAGCAAATTAGAATAAGTTATTTGGAAGTCTACCATTTTAATACGTCTTGATTTTCCTATACATAATATCAAAATACATAGTCCAAGTGTCTTGGAATTTACAAGGAAATTATAAAAATGAAACACCTGTAAAACAAAGCATAAGTGATACATTTCTGAAAGATTGAATTCATTAAATAATTCAGTTACTTGTATGAAAATAAGCCAGGCATAATCCTCCATATGCCAGCTCAAGAGTCTGCTGTTTATCAGACTTGAGCTGCTATATTCCCTCCCCCTGCATAACTCCACACTTCACCTCCCTCCACCATTTACAAGAAATGGCAGCAAACTGCAGGAAATAGTGCACAGCAGTTCCCTCTATGGATTGAACATGGAAACAAACAGAACATACTGTTAACAGTGTTGTATCCGACTCAGAGCTGCTGAGTGTGACCAACTTTTATTGTTGTCTGTGAGGATGACGTGTCAGGAATGTACTCTGAACCCGAGTGGGGCTCACCTTAACTCCTGAAGTCTCGAGGTTTATGAGGGCAGGACTTCTACATTGGAGGCATTGTGTTGGCTCATACATGTGTGAGTTGCAGCACAGGAAGAAATAGGTCTTTGTGGTATCTGCTTCTGTGACAGTAAACGTGGCTGCAGAGCTGCTGGCGGCTTTGAATGAGGGTAGAAAAGTTCACAAGTCACATCTTAGAAAGAGGTCTTAGTGGTATCAGCTCCTGTGACGGTAGAAATGACAGTTGCTACAGAGCTAATGATCGCTAGGAATGACGGTAGACTATGTGTAGAGTAAAGTGGCTGGTTGGAGCACACATTTTGTCACCGCTTCTGTTAAGCTTTGATTGTCTAAAGCATGGCATGTAGGGCCTACTCTATGTTTCCAAAAGAAACTCAACTATTCCTGTACTTTATCATTTGGAAAACGCTGCAGTGATTCAGTCATTTTTTATCACAGATTTATTTTGCCATGTTGATGTTAACATTCCCTAGCTTGCTACAACATAGAGTTGCTTGGAACTCACAAAACAGCTAATCTTTTAAACTTACTGATTAATGATAAACCGTTTCGGGTAACATGTGTTGATGTTTTTTCGATAAATTGTAAATACTTTAATGGCCATAGGAATGGCCAAAGGGGGAATTGTTGTGGAAATTTATCATATGGTTCTTTTAGTTATAACTTGTATCGCTTAAACCTGCATATACCACCCTAACCCTCTTCCCACGAAAAGGCTGGGAACCTGGCCTTGGTGGGTGCAGCGGCCGACAACATCTGCGAGGGGGAGGGTGAAGGGAGAGGAGACGAGATAACGCGCATATATACTCTGTTTTGTCTATTCATTGTTGTTAGACCTCCGAACCATCCGTGGGGAAAGAGCTCTATCCATTCAGCTGAATTTTGATTGAAGTGTCTGTTCATTAAATATGTTTTTAATACTTTAAGAAGTTCCATCGTGATTATTTCTCACAGAGAGGTGAAAAAGATTTTTTTCCACCACAGTGTGTTGTTTGATGAAAAGAAAAAAAAGAAAAAAAAATTATATATATAACTTCAATGAGTATTTTTTCATGCTAATACCTGAAACTGATCAAGAACATCTTTTATTCACACATGTATCCAGCTTGTGAGTTACAGTTCAGGTGTATGTTGTGGTTATTGGTAGATATGTGGCATGGATGAATAAAATACAAACAGCACAGAAGATTGTGCACAACCATATTTGTTTATTACCAGATTATTGCTCGCAGGTTCCTCGCTGTATTGAAGAACTTAACATAGAAATGAAGCAAGAATTGGTTTAACATCAGAAATGATGGGATGAAAAAGTTATCCTGCAAGTATCTGTCACTCTACCCTTCGTTCAAAAGCACATACACACACAGTGTGTGGAATGATCTGTACAATAAATATGCATACCTGCTTCACATACCACCTTTAAGTTACATCTGTGTCATCAAAATGCACATGTAAACACACAAGATACATGTGAAGGGGAGTGGATGTCAAAGGATGAAAGGTGTGTAGTTTGTTGGGCCAGAAGCACACACACACACACACACACACACACATTACAAACACCAGTAGCACATATTTAAATAAAGCAATGTTAAGTAAAAGCAAAGTGCTGCAAACTGAAGTGAAAAAATAAAGAATTTACATGACAACAGTTTCTTCCTTTAAATCCCCCAAAGCAACAGATATCGGCTTCTCTCTCTCTCTCTCTCTCTCTCTCTCTCTCTCTCACACACACACACACACACACACACACATGCAGGTCAACTGCTATAAAAATGTAGGAAGTAAATCATCTTTATTAATTGTATAATAAATATTGTCCCTGTAGGTATTGTTAGTCAATTAAATATATTCAAAAACAGTGTTGTTACATGTGTTAATGGCCCTGCAGCCACACGGTACTTAACTGTTCTCTCCACATAGAACCAGTGCAGTGTGTCCGTCAGTAGTGGGCCTTTTCATTTCTCCTAAACTTCCTCCATAAAGGGAGGAACAATGAATTCCAAAATGTTCTTCCCCCACTGCCGTTTACAAAAAGTACTCTACATATTAAAGGATATTTCATATTTCGTAGTTTGGGCCATCATTCATATCTATACTTACTAAAATAAATGCTGAGAACTGGGAACACAGTCTCAATATAATCTGACAGGGAACAAGCATGAGCAGTCAGACCACCACTTTACAGAAAAACCAAAAGTGACGTGTGTCCATTGCAAACATCCACCACAGTCCACAGACAGCGGGGGGGTCATTATTTTACTGTCTTCTAAACCAGTTTGACTAACCTCAGGGTTGCTTCTTTTTAATCATGTCATGTGTTCACAGATCTCAGCGATTAGCTTGGACAGTACATTGTTATTATTACTGATAGAAATGACGGCCATAACTACATAAATAAGATCCAAGTTGTAATAAACTGCAAGTTTACTTGTTAAATGAGTCGCACACTTTCTTTCCCCATGAGAGCCTCCAGAAGTGAAGCCAGCACAGTAGAATGCAGACTGTGTTCGGTTATATTTGGTTCAGTAGAGAATGGGGCGAGCATCACTGTTTGGACCAGCAGTGATGAGTGTAGTAGACCTTGACTGTTCAGTGTTCAGTTTACAGCTCTGCTCAGCCCGTTTTGTTAGAACCCTGTCAGGTTCAGCGGTATTGTGCCTGCTTTAGCCACGTCTTACGTCACACCACCACGTTCTTCACTGTCATGGTGACTCGTTGTGCCTACCAGGTGGCCCTCTAATCACCAATGGTACTGTTTGCTGTGACTGCACAGAGTTAACAACACATCTCAGATGCTGGGGTCAGTATTGGGTTCTCAGTGTTAGCACAGGAACAGTTAGCGTTGCTAACCTTGAACGCTAGCATTTAGTGCTGGTGCGTGTCACAAGTTCAAAACCAAATCCCCCTTCAGCAGGCTTAAAGAGACATAGCACAATTAAGTCCCGCCCCCACCGGAGGAGAAAACAATTGATGGCTCTCCAATCGACTTTGTATTGTGTATTTTGACAGTTTGGGACTTATGTTATTGTGGAATGTGAATACATCAGAAAGCTCGGCCGTTTTATGTTTGCCTTAGCTAGCTACAGCAACTTGCTAACACAAAGTTAACATTAGCTCGCTGATAGCTAACTTGTCCATTTTAGTTATCAGCTACACCCCTGGTAAACATAAGGTAATAAAATAATCCTCTGATATGCTGACATCTATCGTTTTAGCTAGCTACTGGCATTTCGTTAGCCTTTCAGCCCTTGGTTGCATAATGTGTCGGAGATTGTTTTCCCCTCCGGTGGGCGTGGTTTTCACTATATGACGCGTTGCATTCTGGCTCTATGTCTGGGCCTCCGGCAGGGACCGGCCGGGTTCACGTGGCACCGAGGGCCCACTTACTGCTAGTCCATTTGTGCTGCGACACAGTAGAGCTTTGGTTGCTGTGGAGGCCGTTGTTGACGAGGAAACGCTGCCACCAGTTATGGTACCATTGAGGTTACGGTAGGGCCGCTGCCGTGGTAACGAAGCCCTTCGGCGGGGGGCAGGCACAGCAGCTGAACCACGGAGGCACACAGAGGGGAAACTCAGACCTACCAGACAGCAGCCTGGACAGGAAATGACCTCATCCTGCTCAGCATGGCCACGAGGGTCAGAGGACTGGACCTGGGCTTCGCTGTAACCATTAGCACGACTTCCTCCACCCCACTGCACCTGCTGGCCAATTACAAGGGCCGAGCCGTTGTTGTTGTCCAGTTGTGGCAGAGCAGGCAAGGAGGGCGGTCCGTTGGAGATGGGGAGTCGCCAGCCATTTGTCTGTAAAGAGGAGGAACAAGTGGAGGTGAGCAGGGGTCTTCTAGGTGTGGAGTCCATGACTCCATCTGCTGGCTCTGGAGACTTGGTACAGTCCATGGGTTCTGTTAGACATACACCCTCCTCTTCCTCCACCTCCTCTAGTCGCTCCAGAGACACCATCTCCAGCTCCACAGGAAGCCCTGAAGCCTCTCCCATCTCATCCTCCTCCGTTAACAACTCTCTCTTCTCAGTTATCTCCATTTGCTCGACCTGCAACCTTTCACCTGTCTTCTCTGACACCCCTGTCTCCTTCCTCATATCGACCTCCACATCCTCCACTGTTCCTCTTCTAAGCGCCGCTCTGACGTCCTCCTCTTTTTCCTCCTCCTTCCCCTCAGTGTCTCGTGGCAAGGCTACAGTCCGGCTGAGCTCTGGAGTACAGGGGAGCGACTGACATCTCCTCGGCAGAGCTCGCTTCCCCGGAATCCCTCTGAGAAGCTGGGGGGAGGAACACGGGTCGCGAAGTGCCGGGAGGGTAAAGGTCAGGGAGATGACGGACTTGCTAGGTGTGTCTAAAAGTTTACAACGCCCCCCATTCAGGTCCTGCCTGAGAGAGAAGGGGTTGACCCGCGGGGGAGTCCCGAGGAGAGGAGGGGTCAGGGTTGCCGGGGGTAACATGTCCGACTGGCTCCTCTCCAAGCCTTGTCTTTTCTGGCTTCGGTCACCGGGGTGACAGGGAGAGCTGCGGCGCCGATCCTTGCTGACTTCTACCGATACTGGCTCTGAGCAAGGGAGGGAGGGAGACATGTCAGTGAACAAGTCACAGAATGTCACAGAGAAATGTAGAAAATACAGATGACACGGGGAAGAATTGTGTGATGTATGATATGGTACTATTTTCTAGAACAATTCCCTTTGAATGTAAACTACTAACCAAACTATCCTCTTGTTCATCATATGCTCTTAGCAGTTTTAATCATGGACATCATGGAAATATCAGGATCTCATTTCCCAGGATTCAACACTAGTCTGTATGTGAGTCGGCCTTCAAGTAAGCTAACTCTCCAAGGGAGAACCGGAGGGGAAACCCATCTCTGGCACAAGCTGGGCAACTACTTCCATTTAAGTTTCATTCTCTTTGATAAGTTACTTTGATTTCTCTCCTTTTATTGAGCGAAGAGGGTTTTGGTCTCAGATATGATTTTATACCTTATGTCTGATCTCATATTACTTAGTGTTCATTTAATGATGAAAACCTTTATGTGATTATCTTTCATTTATTATTATGTAATCCCATGTGCTTCTATATCCACTGAATGGTGAGATAAGGGAAAAAGGTCGTCTTTGTTTAACCTGCTCTGGTCTGATTCAGCATAGGAAACAGGTTGTAACGGTGAGAGACATCCTGACTGATGTTCCACCAGTAAAGGCCACACAGGAAGCTTCGAAGGAGGGCTACCAACTAAATGTAACATAAACAGTATAATCCAATGGTTTGGTGATGATTAGTTGTTAACCATAAATGGATCTGAAGGTTAAGATGCTCCAAGTAAAGATGTATAAATAGGGAGAGACAACTAAGTATTTGGGTCTTGGGGGGGGGGACTTTTGAAGTCGTGAAGAGGGCGTATTTACTCCTTATTCTATCATATATATTTTTGTAACTGGTAGTATTATTTTCATCGTAAAAACAAACGATAAACAAAGTCCAGGCTTGCTCATCTCTGAGTGTCTGCATAGCCTCCTTAAGATAAGACAGCTCTTCCCCTGGGATAGGCTGACAGTAGTATCGAATTCAACATGCATTTGAATAACAAACCTGCTACCTGCTGAGGTAAAAATGGTGTTCATTCTGATGTGATTTACTAATGTGATTTGCTCTGCTGGTTTATTATGCCTGGTGTTGCATGTGATCACAGGGCTCAAACATAGTTGTGTGATTTTAGTGTACATTAGGGTCAGATTGGGATCTAGTTTGGGGTCGATAGGGTCAGGGTCAGAAGCTGCCCTACTGAACCCAGCAAGGTTCCCAACCGACCCAGGGTTCCTCCTCCAGTGATGTCCCTTTAAACAGAACCATACTCCATCTATTGCATCCACATTCTTTTGATATCCGGCTGTCGGGGAGGCCGACGTGAAAGGTCTGAAATAAGTGATAGAACGGCAGCTAGTGTTTTAAGCTAAGATGAACTTCCGCTTCCCTAAACAGGCTGACGCGGTCTGCATGAGGACGTTCGATACCAGGTCAGAGATCACAAAACAGACATCTTCCAGTGCCTTACTCACATTAGGAAGAGGCATCAGTTTAACAGAAAAGCTGGACATCATCAAAATGTTGGCCTTCTATGCTATTTTATATCTATGATCCATTTCCATTAGCACTAGACTAACTGCACTCAAAGACAAGGGGACAGATCAGAGTATCCAGGGGAAAAGCCACAAAGACTTGTGGGAGCACTCACACAGACAGTGCTGTAAAAAACATCTTTTACATTTAATGAAGACATAAAAAATATCTTTTTGATGCTTTTTACCGAGTGCAATGGACGTCTCTCTCTCTTCTTCTGTCTCCATGCCCTCCAATGTGAGGACAATGTCAGAGAACGAGGGACGCCTTTCTGCACTCATCTGAAAACAACACGAGGACAAAGATCCACATACAAAGAATGAGAACGTTAACATCAGTAACACATTCATTTAGAGAACGTAGTAACATGCTGTCAGCAAAGACACAGTGGCTCAGAGAGGTCCAACTGTCCAAGGTGGTGTCAGACGAGGAAAACTGACACACTTTGCAACCTTATAGGTTATGACCAATGAGACAGTGTGTGTGTGAGCACTTACATTACAGCAGGTGACAGCGAGGCTTAAGAATGCAGCTGGACAATCCCCAACCATGTTCTCAAATGCATCCACGTCCAGACCAAAGTCCTACACACACACACACACACACACACACACACACACACACACACACACACACAGTGTTTGAGTGTAATACATTGATTCCTCCACATCTTGTTGCTGTGTTGCAAATGTTAAACTGCAAATAGTTTCCATGGCTCTCAAAAGCAGTTTGGAACATTGACAGAGACAATATCGTTCCTCCCACCATAAAATATAAATGTATCAACATGTTTCTGTCTGTGAGGGAGCGACACATCACTACACCACCTGACTAAATCACAGCCATGGAGCCTACCTCTGTCCTGGGTAAGAAGTCAGGGTCGGCTTCAATGCGGGCGATGATCTCACACAGGATGATGCCGTACGCAAACACATCCACCTGAGCAGAGGAGTGGAGTGCATGTTAGTTCTGATCATGGACACATAGACGCGCCGTGGTAAACTGAAACCTCATGGGTTGTGGAGAATTGATAGTTTCTGATGTTTAAATCACGAGAAAAGTTGAATTCATATCAGGTTCAAGACTTTGTTGGTTGACTTTTAGTGCCCAATGTTGCCTCCAAATCTCAGTCAAGCTCACTGTCGATGTGTTAAACCAGACAATACACTTGGTTGAGACAAAGGTTAAGGGATTTTAAAAGTGTTTTCCCGACTTGCATGTTAATTGTACTTTGAACAATTTCATTAGTAATGAATGGAGAAACATCTGGGTGCCTAATGTCTTTATTTCTTCTTCCTGTACATCAGAAATAAAAGGGTAGTGTCTTCATCCAGTTCAACTGCTCTGTGACTGTGACAGTGACTGACTTTATAGGAGGAAGTATTTTAGTTTTTTGGTCACCATCACCAACGTATAACTTCAGGAATGTATTGACATTTAAGTGAGACTTTGTAAGTTTTGCTGAACAAGTCTTTTTGACTTGACCACTAGGCAACCTGACTGAGAGTGAAATGTTTCTCCGGGTGAGGTACTGTGTGTTTAATTCTTCTTTAATTTCCTAATAGAACTATCGGAATGTTTTTCCTATAACACAGTATAAAAGTAGCACCAGAGAGTGTGGTAGTCAGTAACATCTATCTGTAGTTTGCTAACATTATCTGACTTCAGCCACCACAAGCTACTGATCCTACCAGACAAAGTAAAACCCTGAGTGTACTGAAATGACCAAGGGTGGTTGTATTGTTAAAAATTAAGCTTTTCATTTGTATGAGGATGAATGTGTTGTGCTTTCACAGTGTTCTGTAGTCCAGTGGGTGTTTGTGTGAGCTGTGCAGCTTTACCTTCTCATCGTACAGCTCCCCTCTCAGGACTTCAGGGGCCATCCAGTAGGGGGAGCCCACGATGGCCAGAGGCTGCTTCCCCACACTATCACTGCAGAGAAAGCAAGGTGCTCATTCGAAGTCACACTAGTTGGGATTAGCTGTGAGCTTGTGCTATAATTTTCTCTTTAATATTTTGTATATTCTAGCAACAGCCCTGCAACATGTCTTTGTTGAGCTTGTACTGCTCAGTTTAGTTAACACTGTGGTTCTTTTCAACGATGTGTTCTTGGTTCATATTACATTGATTCTTTTCCATCCATGTTCCCACGGGGAACTAAATATTAGCGACACTTCTGTACCAAGAATCACCAACCAATTAAAGAATGTAGTCATCTCCGGAGACGGATGAAGACCTGGTTCTGCACAAGGAGTCATTCATCGGCATATAATGCACAACAGACCGACTGAGATGGGTTCAGCATAAATAACCTCTGATAATGATTGGTTTATACTGGTTTATAATGGTTTATACTGGCTCCTCAATGGATACAGATGTGTTTGTTAAAATAAAGCAGCTGTCACTGGACCCTAAAAGCTAAGAATTACATCGGAATGACATCAGACTGATATCAGAATGACATCAGACTGTATTTCTGACTACAATTCTTTCATGGAGCGTTTGTTGTTAGACTGCAGCAGAAGAAAAGACACCAAGATTCTGGATTTCCCTTCACTGACCTGTAATCAGGGATCTTCTCTGCCAGGCCGAAGTCTCCCACCACAGCAGTGAACATGCTGTTATCACATTGAACCAGACAGTTCTGCACAGGGGAAGTGAAATTAGCTTATTAATCAATAAAAAATACACATTTTCTCACTGACGTCTAGTCTAGCCATGTGGACAGTTTTCGTTTTATTTGTCCAGGTTGTGTTGAAATGTCTCATGTGTAACATGAGCCCTCTGTTCTGAACTGTTCAGGCTATAGTTGGAAGCTGTAAACTTCCAGTCACACGTGCAGCATCATCTAACACATGCTCCTCCTTTACTTCTCTACATCCCGCCGACATGACGTGGAGGAGATGTCTAGGTGGAGCTAAAGCAGGTGTTTAGGGTTCGATCAGACGATCCCATTTGTTTCTCAAATCAAATCTTTAAGACAGACTGTCCACACTGTTATTTCCGAATGATCAGATCAGATCAGATCTGTGATCAGCATGGGTTGCTCCGTAGCTACGCTGGGGAGGCTCTCCAACACGGAAGCACCGTCACTTCGCCCTCCAAACAATCGCACTTTCTAGTCGGTGCAAATTGTGATGTTCTGTGCTGCCATCCGCAAAGTACTGACTGGTGTGAACTGAGGCAAAAGACACTTTGAACAGGACTCCTCCTCCTCGCTGCCATGGCTGCAGACACTTTGAGATGGGAAACACTTCTCAGGTTGTTTCCTGTCATGAATTTGCTTTGAGCCTCTCTTTTCCTATTTCTGTCAACAGGCGACAGGATGAAAGACACTCTCTCAGCAGGATGCAGGAAACTGTAAATGCTAAATGCTAAATGAACTTGTACTTGTATAGCACTTTTCTAGTCGTCCGACCACTCAAAGCACTTTCACACTACATGTCATTCACGATGGAACCACCGATCCTCTGATTGAAGGACGACCCTGCTCTACCACTGAGCCCCAGTCACCACACTGTTCCCTCGAGAACTTCAGCATCATGGTGGAATTCAATGGAGCGTATTGTCTCTCTGTAAAATGAGTTTCTATAGATAGATTCCCACCCATAATCAATGATCCATAAGCATCTTATTCCTGCCTGCTGTACCTTGGAGGTGAGGTCTCTGTGGAATATGCCCTTGTTGTGCAGGTACTGCAGCCCTCGGGCGATATCCAGAGACAGACCAATCCTGACGCACCACGACAGGTACAGATCACTGTCCAACAGCTGCTCCAGGTTGCCTCTATTTATATACTACAGAGAGAAACAGCAGCATGTCAGTGAGATGCCCAGTCAGCACATTTATGTGTGTTAAAGTAAGACACCAGCACGAGAATCATGCATTACCATTTGCAAAATACAAGCACAGTTTTGAATGTTGAATACTAACATATGGTATATGTCACTGTAATATGAGCAGGATTCCTGAAGCGCTACATGGTTCATGATGAGATGCTCCTATTCCAGTTTAAATAGGCTTATTGCTGTTATAGTTTTTACCAGTTTACTCCAGCACAGTTTACAGTAAACAGAGACCTCTGCTGGAGGGGGCAAGTACGTTTAGCTATACCTCTGTGGTAACCATGGTAACCACTGCACACCAACCCCGGTGTAAACTACCTGGTACACCGTCATGAAAAGCAGACACATACGGCCAATTGGCTCTGTAGGAGCTGCATCTGAGTCATTTTCAACATTCAATTATTTTGTGGTGTTTTACTTATTTTATTTTATCCATAACGGATAAGATTAAAAAAAATAAAAAATAAAAAGGAAATGGAAGAGGGAGACTTAAAGTGAAAATAAAAAAACATGAACCACTTTTCAACACATTTCAAAAAGCTTCATAAATCTGACAATATTAACAGAAGATGGTTTTACCTCAGTCAGAGCGTGGAGTTGACCCTCATGCACACAAACCCCAAGAAACCTGAGGAGACAGAAAGAAATATGATTTTTTATTTTTTATTAATGTAGGCCATATTGTAGAATTGCCACGTGTCTGGAAAATAATTATGTAAAAGAATTTAAAAAGAATATTAATGAAGGCCTTGAAAGTGCTTGATTTAGCCTACTGGAATACCTGCAGGTTTGAGGCTTTCACGCTCAAAACTCACCTATGATACTATTTTTAGCGACATAAGCGACAGATATTCAGCGATTTGCTGATCACTGTGTTGTTCTCTCTCGCAGTAGTTCCTCGCTCAAACACTGTACAGAAGCTGAGGAAGTTGACTTGAACACAGGCTGAGGATATCAATACTGTCACATACAGGATTTCTTCCATTGTTACCTCAATTTGTGTTCAATTTATACTTCACAATATGCCAAAATCACTGGTTGAACTTTCCAATGGCGATGTTTACTATATTCCTCTGTAGAGAAGTAGCATAACCTTTGGACTGAAGCTGTCCTGCCAAGGTTCAGAATCTTCAATTTGACTTCATTCAAGGCAAAAAAGATAGAAAATTAAAGGTGATGAGTGTTTCCACAGATATTGCACATCTGAGTTAGTAAAGATGTTATGACAAAATCCAAAGTATGATTGTGACAGTATTTATGGCAGCTGATGATGGGGGGGGGGGGGGGCATTAAAAATGTTGCTATGCACATTGCCTTTATAGATGGAATAAAATGACAGATCCTTTGGAGATTTAAAATTTGATGTGGTGTCATAATTAAACTTAATGTTAACCTTAATGTTGATGTGACACACTAAAAACAAGAAAATGTGAAAATGGCAATTCATATCCAAAAGGTTGCTGATCTAAACTCACCTAGCAACAGGCTTATATATATATATATTACCTGAGTATGTTTGGGTGGCAAAGCCTGTTCATGAGCTGCACTTCTCGTAGCATGTTAGCTTTGTTGCTAGCCAGAGTGTTCATCTTCAGTGCCATCACCTGCCCTGTGATCCGATGCTGCACCTGGAAAACAAGCAGAGAAGGTTGATCGAGGAGCGGTGCTTCTTCTGGAAAGCACTTCCTCTATCATCTTGTTTTCATTTCAAACATCTGTCTAAATTTAATATCAATATGTATGGAAGCTTACATTTGAAATTACATAATTGATGCATTTGTATCAGACAAAACTCCCCACACATGTAAATCAAACCAATTGTTTCTTTTGACAGTGTATCATTCAAATAGAACCTTTAGTTTGGACAACAGAACTTTGTAAAGTGATAACAAAATGTCCTCACGATAGTCCACGGAGGTCAATAAGTGAGAATACTGAATATGTTACCAGGTACAATAAAGTCATCTGATATAGGGTTAGTACTGTATGTCGTGTTTGCATCGCTTGTTGGCAATGTTAGCGCAGCAGGCTAATAGTAACATGAGTATCTTCGGGCAGCTGTTGATTTCTTCTGATTGCTTGCTGGAGACAACAGGCTCCTTTTCACTTGTCAAAGGTTGGACCTTTATTCTGCACAGCAGAGAACCACAGAGTCCCAGTACATGACCATGTGATGCTGCAGGTACACTGGGCCTGTGGTCATGTGTGTGACTGGACGGGTCATTGCAAGGTTCAGCCAGTGGCTGGACCTGTGTGTGTGTGAGAGTGTGTGTGTGTGTGTGTGTGTGTGTGGGGGTGTGTGTGTGTGTGTGTGTGTGTGTGTGTGTGTGTGTATTAATAGCGTAGCACTAATAGGCTTTCTGGATTTCCCATCACTCCTCCTGATCTGCACAAACCCACTGGTCCATTACTGAGACCTGTCCCAGCAGCAGACAGCAGGCTGGGTTGAACAGTAATAACAGACCTCATGAACTGGTTCTGTGGATGGGTCCAACAGCAATAAGTGCAATGTGAAATGAAAGACAAAATGACCTTCCTCTCTCTTTAGTAACTTCCGTTCAGACACTCGGCCTGCTGGGGCTTTGAATACATTTGGAATTTACCCAATTTGACCTTTTTCAGTAGTCTAAGTCTCCCTTTGGATATCTGTGTGTGGCAGTTGCTTCAGAAAAATGTCCATCCTTGAAAAACCACCGTATAATAACAAATAATTAGCTTTATTAAAGCACTAGACGAAGTACATTTTGTGTACCAGATAGATGCATTGGTATTTTTTGATGTAACATAAACTTCAAGGTGTCATCTGTTAGTGAATGAATGTATTACACTATGTCTTGGTATCTGTGTGCTTATTGTGTTTAATAATACTGCATCATCCACTCCTTAGGAGCATTACAACCACCGGGTGAGTGTTGTTCTGTTTCTAGTCATCAGAATGAAGAGATGATGAGAGAAGGCAGGAGGAACAGCTAGTGATTGTTTTACCAAACTTGTGCTGCAGGTGAAGGGTCGTTTGGCCAGTGGCCTGATACCTGCCTTTCACATCACCACCTTTCTCTTTTACATTTATAATAATGATCTGAATGAACCCTCTTCCATCCAACAGTAAGAGGTGCACTTGATAAAGCTCCCTCTACATACTACATGCTTTTATTAAAGGAACAGTAGCTCTGTTTTCACTCCTCCTCAACTGGAGAATATCATCGCTTTGAGTGAAATGCTACCGCTAGAATGGTAACGATCAAACATGAGGGTTGGGTCACTATGGAGCTCTCTTATCTATAATGTAAAAGAGAATAAACAGAATAAAGATTATATTGTTAGTGTTCTTGGAGTAGCTGGTTTAGTTTACAGTTTGTGGACAAAGAAAAGCCATGAAACAGAGCATCTACTCGTCTACTGACTCCAGCATTAAACCCTGGATCTTACTGGAAGAAGTCATGCCATTTAAATCATATGAGGTACTGAATAACTACGTACGGTATGGTAGGTGTGTGTGAGTGTGTGTGTGTAAAGCTTTGGCTGTTTCAGATAAGAGCAGAGGAATGTGAACAGGAATCCACTTTGTATAAACCCTCACCCTGAGCAAATACTCCAACAACTACCTCAGGTAACTCTGGTTGTGAGTGCTATGTGTGGGTGCTGAGTGGACTCTTGATTTGGTGGGCAGGAGGTGATCATCTACATCATGTCCGTAAAGGTTACCTAGTGTCCACACACACACACACACACACATACGGTGTGACAGTAATCTGCTTAGCCTGGACAGCAGGACCTGTCCTCCAATGAGCATGTCCCCTCACACACACACACACACACAGTCTCACACACACATGTATCTATCTACATGTATGACAAACATCAGTCCAGTATGTAACACATCTAATGACATAAACATTAGCATGAAGTATGACCAGAGCTCCTGCTGCTGGATATCTTCAGGGACATTACGTGTCGGCTTTTCAAGGCTGGTCAGTATATTGTCCCGTTAAACATATTGGAATTTTTGGGTTGGGTCATGTAAATGAAATCATTCATTCACATCACAAAGTAATCTAGCGGGAATGTTCACTTGTACATATTTGACAGACTAATGGCGTATGCATCGCCCTATGATGTTGTATTGCATCGTGATAAACGCTGAGCCAGGTTTCACTGTTTTGTACGTGTGATGTGCATCCTGTCTCCAGTGGTTATTAACACATTTATTAACATACAAACGCGTTATATATAGAACGTAAAAATGTTCTGTTGACATCCGTAATTTTGATGTGATATTTGATATGATTTTTGCTATAATGGGTAACATCAGGCCGAGGAGTGCTGAGACACTAAAAACAATGGCAGCCGCCCACTGCGGCTGAATGTTACCATGACACTGACAGAGAAACTGTGTCTAATGTGGATCTATCGTCGCATCTTGTTGGTCAGACAAACAATTTGAAGACGACCTCAGACGAGGCTTAGTTTCTAACCATGCAAACCGGGCCCCCAGGGGCTCCACAAGTCAGAGGTTCACACTGAGTGTCAATTGGTTGATATTTGGTAAAATGGTGAACCGGGAGGTGACCGGGATGTTGCGGTTAAAGTGAACACAACATATATTCTACATAGTCAACTATAGAAAGTGGATCTTTCTATGTTGACCCAACCTTGATCGTTTGACATTTGATTCATTATCATTTTATTTCACCCACTGAGACGCTGTAGTTTAACCAGTCGACAGGTCACATACCTTGAAGACCTCAGAGAAGAAGCCTGAACCTATCTTCTCACAGAAGAAGTCGTCGATGCGGGCCAGACTGGACACAGCACTCCTCAGGGCTCGGTAGGAGGACGGGCGGATCCGGTTGGGCGCGTGGATACTGTGGAGGGGCGGCTCGTCCGGGCCACCGTGACCCTCCTCGGGGTCGCAGAAGCAGCACTCGGCGTGGTAGTCCATGGTGCTGGTGGACCACCGCGCTCCAGTAGCTCCGTTCTTTCCCACAGGGGAACCAGAATATGTGTTAGACCGCTGTAGTCCTAACACACGAGGTGATGGAGGTGCCCACCATCATGATGTCAGAATACCTTTATATGGATGACCTGATAATATAGCTGCTTTACATCTGATGATGCCTTATTACACTAATAGAGAGAGACTAGTATCTATACTTCTATGGAGTGGGCCACATTTCTCCTTGGTTCAGCATCGTCTCATTCAACTCATTGGAGGTGAAGGATAGTCTACCATTCCCTCCAGGTTCGTTCATCCATGGTCCCAAAGTTCCTCTGAGCAAGCTCCAAGTTCTCACCAGCTCCAGGGCTTCTTTGTGGGTCACCTTGTCCTCTGACGTCCCAGGAAAGATGGAAAAGTCTCACTAATGAAAGTCACTTCAAATCTCAAAGCCGCTGCCACAGCGGTCTTAGTAATTCCTGCAGCCCGTGAACGTCGCCTCTCCGTGCCGGTACGTGAGGAGGCTGGTTCCCTCCGTCATCCAGTTAGTTTTGAGGCTGAGATGACGGTCGCTGCAGCTGCACGGTACCGAGAGAGGGTAGGAGGGCGGCCAGCTGCTATGTAAAGCTCCCTGTGGAAGTATTAAGAATTAATGTAGAGATATTATAGGACACAATATACAATATGTCAGAGGTTCACTGCTGCTATAACGTGATTACTTCACTCATGTTAGCGGAATGACGGAATGCTCGGTGTTAACACCACTGTGGTATATTAGGACACATTAGTATGCGCTGATTTCTGTCGCATTTAATGACTGAGAGCCTCCTCTTGACCCGGGTCCCGGGCCGATGTGCTGGATGTGTTTATTTGGGTAAACGGTAGCAATGAGGCTGATAGCCGGAGAGAAGCACCGCTAGGAGGGCGATAAGCCATCAATCACCTCCTGGATAAGATCGAGCGGCACTGCTCAACCGGACTGTTAGGCTTAGACATAATTACAGGCCTCTTTCAACCATGTTTTTTAAAACATTTTATTCATTTTTTTTTTATACTGCGTATAGTCAATCAGTGTATAATTTGGCCACGGCTAAGTAAACAGGAGAATATAACGTTCGCGTTTTGAAATCCCATATTTCTCCTGGTCAATAAAACCCCTGGCTACCGTTAATAACGGGAGCTGTCAATGACAAGCGGGCTGCTGAGTCACAGTCGACGGCTTCCTTCTATACTCACGTCGGTCTGGATGGAAATGTCGGTGCGGTCCGAGAAGATGTAAAAACAGAAATATCGCTCGGCAGCTCCGCGGTGTCTGCTGCTGATAATCCTGTCTGGATTCCTGCTTCACGAGCCGCTTGTTGGGACGACTACCATGAGACAGCCCTGAGTCAAGCTAGCGAGAGTGATACACAGGACTTCCTGTAATTACACAATAAAAGCCTATCAATATGAGCAGTCGATTTACAGGCGACTGTATGCACGTTTAGACGTATACTTAAAACCTATATTTGAATCATCAATTTATAAACACATACAAAAAATCCAATGATTTTGTTTTATTTCTAATACAATTATGGACAAATTGCAATAGGCTGCATATGAGGAGTTTACTACTAAGTTCAATCAACACTTTTATTATTTTATTTTCTATTATTCAAAACATCAGAGCACTTTTTAGTCTAAGGTGAATGCAAGTTTTAAATTAGAACAGATGACTGAGAAATCCAATTAAAAAATAGAATTATATAGGCTAATAATATAATATAGTATAACGTGGATTTTCATTATGCTATGACCAAGCAGATATTTTCCATCATTTATAAAGGAACGCAAATTGCACGAGTCAGGCAAGAGTGACTTCATGAAAATGATGTCATGCTGTGAAATAAATACTATTCAGTGGTTTGTCTTTTAACTTGATAATGTTTTTCCGTAGGGTTATCCGGAGGATCGTTTTCATTTAACATTTCATCCCTTCAAGACTCTTGTGTTGAAGACAAAGTTGAACTTCTTGCATGTTGTTCTCTAATGCTGACTGGAGCAGATGTGAAGCCAGAGCCTAAACCTGACAGCTGATCTGAAATCGATTTCTTCTGTCCAACTTCAGGCTTGGAAGACCAGAGATTTACAACAAGAAAACAATCCCAGACCAGCCACTGAGCCGGAAGTGGCGCACTGGCGATGACTTACATTTTGATTAAAATAAATAAATAAATTTGTCAACAATTATATGTTTCAAATCATAATGATAACAATAATACATTAATGATAAAGTATATGCACTACACTGGTAATAATAAGAATAAAAGATAATTTTAGAGAATAATTTCAAAATACAGTCATTCAAATTAAACTTCCTCTTCCTCCTCCTGCGGTGCTCCTGACACGATTTTCTGTTCACGCTGGAGGAAGTGATGAGGGAACTCTGAACGCGCACGTGCACGAGCCCACAGCCCGCATTCTGCCCACCACCGCAAAATCCGTTGGGCCCGGAGGAAGCCAAGCTTTCCTACTAACCACTGGAGCGATGTTACTGCACCATCAGATAAATGCATGTTCGTATGTCATTTTAGCACATGAACATATGTGTAATATGTTTGATATAACGTTGAAAATCCCGCGATAACAATGAAATCCCATGAATAATCGTGGGTAAAGTTATGTCAACGCTGGTCGTTTTAAATCCAGAGAGGATGACGTCATGGCTTGGTTTCATCTCGAGGAGCGTTTTTACCGCCTTATTTCATAATGCTGCTCATGATGACGGAAGCCTGTGTAGATGCACGTTGTGAATACAGTAACCTATAGACTTTATTCCATCCTTGGTAATGAAGTCATATTTGATCACAGGTTTAAGATAATGTAAGTCCACGGCAGGGACGCAGTGTTACAGCAGCAAACGGTATAATGCAATAACCAAGCATCAGTTCCAAAAAGAAACTAGTGAAACCAATAATAAATGATTAAAAAAGCAAAATATAACTGAACGATTGAATTCACATTATTGCACATAGGATATATTGGTATTGAACAGTTTATTTGATAAGTGAATTGTCAGTTGTCAATTCATAATTCACGGTCATACTACCATACTATTTAGCATGCCAGAAAAATATTTAGTATGTCTCAATACAAAAATGCAATATGCCAAAAACACCAGGATGCTTGACTACATCTTGTTGCATTTTTCAGTGTGTAAACCAGCATTCTTTTCTGGCTAATCTGACTCACGATACTTTGCACAGCAGGGATATGAGTAATTAAATTCCATTCAATTCAGTTTATTTGTATAGCCCAAAATCAAAAATCTGTACAATCTGTAAAACATACGACATCCTCATTCCCAGAACCCTAGCATCGGTACAAAAAAGGGAAAGAAAAAGGAAGAGACCTCAGGGAGAGCAACAGAGGAGGGATCCATCAGGATGGACAGAAGTGTGATAGATGTCATGTGTACACAATGAACAACATAATACAATTACAACATAGTCAATACATTGATATAAACGATTCATATGAGCTTAGTAATAGCAGTAGTAGCACTAATAATAGCAGAGTAATAATGGAAAAATGATGACTACTAATAATAAAAGCAGCAGTGGATATAAAAGAGTAGTAATGATTATAAAAGCAGTAAAAGTACCAGTAATAGTAATAGAAATGTGACTAATAATAATAACAATAATATTAGCAGTGGGAGTCAGAGGAAGGACCAGTGTCCAGATAAAACCACGATCCATGGAAACCTGAGAGGAGAGAAAGCACAAAGACTCTGAGGAAGAAGCAAAGTCAGTAATGAGCGTTAATGGGACATGAATTCATACAGGAGAAGGATTTTAAATTATATTCTGAATTTTACAGGGATTCATTGCAAAAAAACATATACGGGAGTAATATGGTCTCATTTCTTAGTTTTTCTCCTTTTCTTAGAGGGTCAAAGTTCAAGGGGCCATGTTATGAGGAAGTATGTCCCAGCTGAATGCATACTGCTTTGTAAGGGCAGCTGCATTATTAAAAGTGAAAAAAGTATGCAATAACAATGCAGCTTTGGTGAAAGTGCAGTCAGATTCTCAGAGCACCGTGATTGTCTTTTCCTTCATCCTTATGAGTTCTCCTTCACTCCTTCCTTGATCTCACAATGTTTTCCACTGAGGTCAAGAAGAAGTGGTTAGGAAAAGACATTAGGATGTCATGTTCTTTACTTTTCCATCGCAGCCGAGGTCTAAGAAAAGATGAAGTATCCTGAACAAACTCAGAGTAAAGACACACCACTAAAGCAAAATATTCTCTTGATACTTTGATTATTTTGTCAGTCAGTATAGTATGCCATACAAAAGTAATGTCATTAATAATTTCGTAAAAACAGTTATAATATAGTGAGCAATAAAAAACATAGCCATAAAGTATCACATTAAAATTGCCTAGTATAGTATGTCATAATGTCATAAAACATAGCAGTCTGCCCTGAAAATGTCTAAGCATATAGTATAGTATGCCTTAAAAAAGTCATAGTATTATATTTCTTGAACAAGTAAGGTGTGTGACCCTTATCCAGTATTAATGGACAACATGGAGACATATGGAGTCCATTCATTCTTTATAATGTACACCTCAAAAGACATTATCCCTCTTAGAACCATCACTTGCTAAAGAAAATAAATTAAGACCATTCATTTGTATTTTCATGTATTTTGCAAACAGTCACAAACTAATTAACTCTATTTCCCTGGTAAACTTATTATCATCCCATAAGGTTTTTTATGCAATGGAAACGTTCACTGCTCCAGTGAATAGGATGGACCTTAGATAGGACTTAGCAACAGGACATATTTCTAGTTTGCTCATATACTATGTCATAATAATGTTGTAAAAATATCATCGTATAATATGCCAAATAAATCATAAAACAAGTGATAGAATGTCATAATAATGTCGTAAAAATATCATAGTATGATATGCTAAAAATAAAATCATAAAACAAGTTATGGTATAGTATGCCATAAAAATGTCATTACAAATAAATAAAAAGTCATTGTAGGCCATAAAAAAATAATGATATAGAATGCCATAAAAAAGTCATTAAAATGTCATAGTATAGGCATCCATAAAAGATTCAACATGAACCTATCAGCAGTGACCTGTTGTCTGCCCTGACCAATCAGCGCCAGCTATAACACATTCGTCCTGATTGACCTCCGCAGCCTGCGCCTCTTTCCGCCCCTTTAAATCAGCATTTCAATACAATCTTGCCGACTGCAAACTGCAAAGCCAAAACAAGCCACCAAGAGTAAACCAGTTATACAGGAAGTTAGGTCTTCCATCTTCATATTAAAAGTGGTCGAGAAAACTTGACCGTGGGTGCAATGAATGCAAAAAATGTATTTAAAACAAATAATAATTTCATGTGTTCTTAAAATACACTTAATAATACAATACAATTAATGTAAAGGTCTCACCGTCATTGGCATGTAGCTTCGTATTATTTGATTATAATTATTTTTATTTTTTAAACATCTAAACCGGAAGTTGTATTTCCACCTACTTTCACACTTTAACGCCAAGCTAGCTAGCGTCGAGCCATTCATATTGAGCTAACTGCTTCATCACTGGCTGCCTCCGTCTTTTCGGGGTTCATTAACAGTTTTAATTGTAGTGCTACAGTTGAATAGAACATGGCTCTGCTGACTGCGTTAGTCGCTTTCCTGTACCACCTTCCGCAGGTGTATAAGTGGTTGCTGAAGCCCTACTATATAGCCTCTCTCTTCATGTCAGTAGCCTTTCTAGCTGTCCGCAAGACGCCTGGCATCTGCGACCATCTGCCCACACAGCGAGAGGATGGCAACTCCTGCGACTTCGACTGGGTCTGTAGAAAATGCTGGAAATTAACAAATGTCTTTTCAGGAATTGGTATCAAATAGCTAGCTAGCCAGTTGGCACAGCTGCGGATTGTTGAACAGGCTGACAGCAAAGGCTAGCGATAGCTGCGACATTAGCTGTTCTTAGCTATAGGCAGAGAATGACGGGCCAAACCTTGGTCCAAAAACTGGAAATTCATAACGTTTTACTTTTTGGCAGAGAAACTCGAGACACAAAGCTTCATTTATAACCCACTAGAATAAGCTGAAGTATTTAAATTATATACGGCACACATGGACTGTAAATTAGTGTTTATCTTAATATAGAATTAATCTACAGCTAGCGAATGTTAACGAATTTATTGACGTTCTCGGACGTTGATAAGAAACAGTAATATAAATATCAATGCAGGAGAGTAAATAATCCAGGTTTTCAAAAGCCAAACAGTGTATTGATTCTTTGCCGAATTTCACAGAGGATCCTTACTAAACTGTTAAAGGTCATTGTATATATCAGGCTCCAGCATATGGATCTATATCAACAGGCCACATGTCTTTAAACACTAAGATGCATTGATGTATTTAGGTTTGTTGTGACGTTGCCGCCTCACCAGAGATCATGTGAATGATAGTAACACAGTGTGGAGAAAGAGTCCTCTCTACCGCTGTCACATGCTGCTGTATGCAAACACCCTGCATCCATGCACAGTTCAGTGTACTTTAATGCACCAAGTAGTTTGTATTTAGTGCGTTTGTTTTTTAAAAGCACACAACCCATGGCTGGGTTAAAGATATATATATGCCGCATTTTTCTGTAGTAATATAACGAATAAATCAGCAAGAATATATTGTGTCCATCCCCATATACAGACGTTAGTTGACATTTCCTCCATTCTCCCTGTCCACTAACACATTACACAATTATGCTGTCACAAAATGTAAAATGACGAGGTAGTCTGACATCATGGTGCCCAAAATGACCCCAATTCTCTCAATATGAACAGTGGTTAACGTGGCTGGACATGGTTAAGACGTGGCGTGTTTGTGTTCTCAGAGGGAGGTGGAGATCCTCATGTTCCTCAGTGCCATCGTCATGATGAAGAACAGACGAGCGAGTGAGTAAAGTTCTTCTTTTCTATCGTCTTCTGAATTAATTTCTCCTGAGCAGCAACATGGTGAGATGTCATGATGCATTATGATACAAATCAGTTACAGGAAGCTTAATGATCCATCTCCTCCACTGTGACCACAATGACATTCTAGAATAAACACATTCAAGCTCTTGAACTTTCCCCCTCTGTTACAGCAGTACAGAGGCTACTGAATATTAGCTATTGTCATAGCTTTATCCCCCAAAACCCGTACTGGTGGAATATTAGAAAAAGGACTGCTCAGGATGTTGCATCATTATCCCCTGCTCATTGTATGGCTGTTGGAGAAAAAGCATGGCAAAGCAGGTGTCTCTGTATCTGTTCACATCAGTAACGGTGGAGCAGCATGTGGGCAACATCATCCTGTTCAGCAAAGTGGCCAACGTCATGTTGTTCTTCAGACTGGACATCAGGATGGGACTGCTCTACCTGACACTCTGCATAGGTCGGTCCATACACGCGCGCGCACACACACACACACACAGTACATTTGTTGTAAACAAACTCGGATAAAATACCATAATCAGGTATACTAACAGGTATTGTGTGTATCAAAGCCTGACGTATCCTCTTCCTCTGAGCTCCATGAGCCTCACTTCATCAACACACACTGTAGTTAATGTTGACTTAGTCCCACACACACACACACCGTCCTGCTGCCACGAATACTCCGTAGAGCAGTGGTTCTCAAATGGGGGTAAGTGTACCCCTGGGGGTACGTGAAGGCACTCCAGGGGGTACGTGAGATTTTTTTTTAAAATACATTTAAAATTAGCATCTATTCAAAAATCCTTGCAAAATAGTTATTTAATAAATATTCAATAAAATATAAGTGTAAGTTCATAAAGTACTTTAGTACTTGATATCACGGTGAAAAGCCAAGTATTCCTTTGGAGATACTCAAAGCACAACATATATGAGACGTGTACATTTTGCTATTTAAGCAGCCATGTTATGCATACATGTTATACATAACACATTTGTGGAAGTTTTACTATCCAAATATTTCCAGTTCAGATCAGTTAATGAACTCATCGTCGGCAGTAATTCTACAGATGTCCTCATGGTCTCTTCTGTTGGTCCTTTGTGTGTTTCAGTGTCTCTGATGACCTGTAAGCCTCCTCTGTACATGGGACCAGAGTACATCAAATACTTCAGCGACAAAACCATCGATGTGAGTAGAAATGGTAGAATGCTCTGTACCATTTTATCCATGACCAAGAACAGAGACGTGTACACTTTCTCTTTGATCATTGTGTGTCCAGGATGAGCTGGTCAGAGACAGTCGGGTGACGTGGCTTGTTGAATTTTTCGCCAACTGGTCTCCAGAGTGCCAGTCCTTCGCATCTGTCTACGCTGATCTCTCTCTCAAGTAAGACTCCGCCCACTCAGCAACAGTAGAGGGACACTCTGCGACACTGACGAGACTAACTTGAGCTACTCGTTGGTTCTCCTGTTTCAGGTATAACTGTGCTGGTCTCAAGTTTGGTAAAGTGGACATCGGACGTTATGGAGAGGTCTCCAAAAAGTAAGACATTTTGTTTCTCTTTTGTCTTTAAGAGGTTTGTGTCCTAGATTGGTGGCCATGACTAGACGTGAACATGTTGTCTCATGGTGCTCTGTAGGTACAGAGTGTCTGCGTCTCCGCTGTCCAAGCAGCTTCCGTCCTTGGTGTTGTTTCAGGGAGGGAAGGAGGTGATGCGGCGCCCCCAGGTGGACAAGAAGGGTAGAGCCGTATCCTGGAGCTTCACTGAGGTCAGACTGGACAGTGCACTTCACAAAATACAGGCCTTGTGCAGCAACAACAAGTTCTGTGTATAAACGGCAAACCTAACTTTACTCATTCAGACCGTGCTGTTGTGCTGCAGTTTACACTCCGTCTCCTCAAGGAGCTGAAACATTGTGTATAACTCCTTTAGAGCTCCAGACTCTGTCACATGTGTAGACAGACATTTCTGAAAAGAGACTTCTGAAAACTCCCTCGAAGGTGCAGAGGTTCGCTGGCTGTAAAACAGAGCGAACAATTTACACATTGTTGCTTTATGTAATGAGCATGCCCAGAAACAACAACCATAGCACCGTGGGCCGCGTACTAGAAAGATGTTAAATAAATAGGTATCAAACATGTATAAAGAAATAACTAACTGCTATTGTTTTACTATTGTTGGATTTGTTAAAGGTCATCTATTTTTTTTTTTTTTTTTTAAATGGAGAGGAAAAATGTCTTTTCATTCAACGAGTAGATTAATTAATTTAAAGTGATATCCACAGCTAGTTGATGAAACCATGTCAAAATGAAACAGTTGTTTATATTGGTATATTTGAAAGCTCTCAGCACATTGTGTGTGTGTGTGTGTGTGTGTGTGTGTGTGTGTG